CGGTGCAGCCATCTACTACTAATATTTATATTACACAAACTGGTTGGTTTATAATAAAGAATGGCTACATGCATCTTCCTTTTATGCATTCAAGTCTCTATGGATCTGCTAATTATCTGCATAAGATAATATTAAAACTTTCTGTAAATCTAAAAGAACATTTCATCCAGGCCAGAATCACAGATAAAAGGCCGTGATTTCATCCAGATTATAGGAAAACACAATAATCCTATACTTTTGTCACAATAGCATTATTAATTTTAATTAAAACTTAGTTGTATAAAATTTGCAACCATGAGTATTTAAGATATGACATTCTCAATATTTTATCCTTACAAGTTTTTCATGTACATCATGATCATGACTTTAAACTATATTCATATTACCAAATTGGCAGATTACGATCCAATTGTAGAACGTCCATACAAATGGCCTCAAGTCATCCATCCCGATACTGCTTACTAGGCAGTAACTTGGAATTGTATAAAATGCATATAATATTTATAACAATGCAAGCATTTATTCAATAATTCAACATTCTCAAAAATTGTGCATTTAGTTTTCCTTATTGTATTTGAAAAATTTAACTTTGCATATTATTTTAACAGGGTTCGTACACATTTCTGCGCACGGAAATTAAGGACTTTTAAGGATCATTAATGAAAAAAAATTAAGGACCTATGAGGAAAATGGGAACTGAAATAATTCAATTAAAAATATTATCTATGCCTAAATTTCACTTACCATCTTAAAAGTAAATAATTTTTACCATTGTATACCATCCTAAAGTAAAATAGATCTCTAAGAAGTGGGTATTATTACTAAACATGAATTAATGAACATAATTATTAATAAGTTAATAAAATAAGCTTTATGCAATTTATCAAGTAGCATTAAGTATTTTACACTTATAGTAGTTGGTCATATTTCAAAGAAGATAAGTGACATTTATGTTTTACTAACAGTTAGCTTTATGTTGATTTTTTTTTTTTTTTTTTTTTTTTTTTTTTTTTTTTTAATGTCTCCTTTTATCACATACTTGGTCAGTGTAGAGGTTTAGTAAATAGCAGGTAGATTTTATGTCAAACGAGATAGGTTAAAATGAGAAGTAAGATCATAATCAGCATGATTCATAACAAAAGACTGAATGTTGCCACCGTTGCTGCTCGGCTAGAGACAGACCGTCTGATTAAAACAGGCCTGATATAGGCACAGTTGGCAAGTGTTGAAAGTTAGTGAGGTTCTGTTTGATGCAGTTAGTGTCGAAGCTTTGTGCAGAGTTCCAGGGATTGTAACCCAGTTAATATACTTTAAGTTTCCAATAAGCCATTACAGCACCAGAGGTAAAAAGTTGTTTTTTTATTATTTTAAGTCTCAATAGATGCAAAGAATAAGTTTTACTTGAATTTTTACATTTTTGTATTTTATCTTGTGACCACAGTGAGTATTAACGAAATGCAATAACTTGCTTTAATATGTAGAGATAATTTTTAAGGGTAAGCAGTTAGTTATAAATAATTAAATTAGGTAGTTTGATAACTTTAGTCATTATGGATTTACATGACCACTACTAAATTTTATTTTTTAACAATATTTGTTAAAAAAGCCCTATTAAAATCAAAATCGAATAAAATTTCACAGTTTAAAATACATACAATTTATGACACTGATTTTTAAACAATATTAGGATAATTACACATTAAAAGCTACAAAACATTTATGTTTTGCAACAACATTCAACAAAATATTTATCTGTCATTTTAATTTGAAGCCTTCCCCGGCATTTTGGCTAGTTTATATCGATTTCCTTCTCTTTAAGCATCTTTCCTATGTAAGGATTATGTTAATTTTATTAACAGTTAAATATTGAGTTAAGCCGCCCAGTCGGTATAGTGGTCAGAGAAGCTGATTGTGATGCCGAAGGGCCTGGGTTCGAATCCCGGAGAAGGCATGGTTGTAACTGTCCATCCCTTCATAGGAAAGGCGATGGTGGCCCACCTATTAGGTGCCTCCATAATGAAGAGACCACCACACCCAGCCTTGCATAGATTAATGGACTGATTTACGTTTGTAATTGTTCATAATCTGCCATTGAAAAAAAAAAAAAAAAAAAAAAGGCAAATATTGAGTTAAACTTCTTTCCTTTTAAATTCTTAATTTCAACTTACTACTTCCGGCCAGATCGTAAGTTTAGAATCCTGTCTGAATACATAATGACGGTCTTAGCGAGAGAGTTACCAGGTATTCCGTATGTGTGTGTCCGCCTTTTTAGACTTCTCTCTCATCAACTATTATTACACTCGGGCATACTTAGGCCCTTGATAGCTTCGCAGTCAATTAGTGTTAGGGGCCAACTCGGTTAGAATCTTGATAGATTAGTTTCTATCTAGTTTAGACTAGTTTTAGTTTACTTATTAGCCTCTTAAGTTCAAGCCCAAATGTCGGCTTTTATTGTACACTCCAAGACAGGGTTCTGTTAAATCTTATCTGAATAATAAAGGGTTATTTACCCTTCCATCTTGTTGCACGAACTCAAGCGATTATTTGCTTATCAGTTCTTAAGATTCTTCACGTTCAACTGTAACTTGCGTTTACAAAGTGAGGAACTCTACACCTAACAATTAGAGATTTGTCTCAATATGCAAACCAATGTTCTCGCTAGTTTCTGTGTACTTTATACCCTAACTTGTCAACCTCTGCACAATGTACCTATGAGGGTTTACTTGATCTGGTAAAAGTCAACACCCCCGACAGTCGTGAAGCATATTATGGCTATGTCTGAAAGCAACTACAATATCAGACAAAGGTTTAAATAAGCAGTCTCTTATTTAAAAAGAACTTAGACTGTAAAGGCATGTTCTGATGCTAAAAAAATTAATTACAGCTCACAGTTACGTAATTAAACAAGAGCAGTCAAATTCAAACTAATAATGTGGACTAGTGGTCAAAGATTATACAATTTAATTTTTCTTTAATCTGGCTCAATAACAATGTCATATGAGGAAATAGAAATGAGAAATTATAGTAAAGGCTGAAATCATAAACAATTGGGTAATTTACATAATAAGAACTGCCCATATCTTCGAAGAATAATTTTCTTTATGTACTCAGTTTCTTTCTTAAACATGTTTCCTTTTCATTTTAGAATTTTTGGATTTAATTAAGGATTTCTGTTATTCTAAAAAAACACTAATACATTTAGAATGTATAGAAAATGTGGCTAATTTTATATCTTTAGCAATATGAACATTCAGAAGAAATATGAAATGTATATAGTAAAAGCCAGTTACAGAGCTGCTGTGGGAGAATTTTTAGAATTTAGTGACACACTGAACAACAAAATCTAGAAATGGCAAAACTTTTAGAATTTAGAGCAGGCATTGGAAGCAGAATTTAGAAAGGCACTAGGCAGCAGAATTTGGGATCCACAGACATTGCATCAGGTGCGAAAATACCTAGTGCCATGATGCATTAAGGCATATTAGATGAATCTTTTAAAGTGTAAGTTTTGAATTTCTTTATTAATAAAATAATCCCTTCTATAATGCCTGCCCATGTGATAAGGTTAGAAGCATTTTTAATATCTTCCATGCTTGTGTCTAGTGAAAAGTAGAGAATAAAGGGAAGATAAGCATGTTAAGATTCTAGTATCAGAAGTAAAACATTCAAATATTATGTTTTCATTGTTCTTCCAGATGTTCTCCAAAAAGTAACAAATTCATTGCAAACGCTCTGTAAAATGCATCCATTACCTGTTGATACCATGGAGACATTTTTCATTTTGTCACATATTTCTCGAATCTTTTAGAATCATGGGTCTATAAATCTTGCCTTCAAATCCTTCTAAACTTTCCAAGCTGCAATGTCTAAAATTCCTAAAGAAAAATTACCCCTACCATTTCTGTAACAGCAAAAAGCCAGAAATATTTTGGGGGAAAAAAAGGAGGGAAAAAGGTGTAAAATTAATTTTATAGAAAAAACTGATGCATATTCTGAGAATTTTGAATGTTCTGAGACAATTACATGGGAAAAACTTTTATTATGAAAAAATTTTTAAAAAGACGTTTTTAATTAATTACATAGCTAATTTTGCTTTTGCTAAGAGCTGTTTCATAAATTGTGCTTTATAGCATTATACCTTGTTTATTTTTCAGATTCAAAATATTGTATAATAAGTTGCCAAAATGAAACATTATAATATAACAGCGAAAAATAAAAATGTTTTATTTTAATGTTATTTTAATAAAATTAATCAATGTTACGATGCTTTAAAAAAATCGTTGAAAAATTCTCAGATCCCGGAATTAAAAAGTTTCTATAGAACTTATTTTAAAATCGCCAAAATGTTGAAAAGTTGCCAAACTTAGAACCGTTTAATAAAAGAATTCACATCCCCAAAACCAAAAAGTTGTTTAAGAGCTCTTTATTAGAAAAAATGAATTTCGAAATTCTTATGTTTCACTTCTTGCTTAGAAACTCAAGTATTCCATCATTTATATTAGAAATAGAAACAAATTATAACTCATGAACCCATTCAAAACATAAATATATATACGTCAATGAATCGCCAAAAATATTCCTCCAAAATACTAATTCACACTGAAAACGGCAGTCGTAGAAACAAACAGAAATTGGTATTATTACTTCGTTTTGTAAATTTTGAAATCTGGAATTCTGGTACTTAAAATTTCTTAAAAATCCAGACTCGAAATTTCTCACAATATGATTTGCAAGCACAAAACTTATTTGGTAGAAACTGAAGAGGAAAATATACAAATGCTGTTCTACATATTTGTAGATTTTAAGCAGACAAGATAGAATTTATTGAATTTAAAATCTCTAAGCAAATAGTTCCTCATCAAATCACTTAAAATGTAGGAGGGGGGAAAAAAGAAAAAACTTTTATGAGATGGTCACTATAGTAACAGACCTTATATGTTTCAAGTAGAAGTGAATTATGTAAAAATTGTATTATTTTTTGTCAGGAAACACACAAAAAGTTATAGCAAGTACTTTATTAGAAGCAAAAATTAAAAAAGCATATATTGTCAATTTGTCAAAGTGAATCAAGATGGCAAACACAAATGCATTTTCCAAGAAACCCCTATGAAAAATGGATGAGGTCTATGGTAAGAGATATTTTGTCATTCTTGTGATAGACAAATAATATAATAACCAATTAATGCTATGTAAATTACATAACTGTCTATTAACAAAAAATTCATATCTAGAATGAATATTGAAAACAAATTATTTTTTAAGAAATGGAAGTTTTGTATACCATTATTTATCACTCAACATTTTCAGATTATGAGAAAATTTTTAAGGAGAGGGGGACAGCCACAGCAGAAATTTCATTCGTTCACAATAAAAATACATGCAATGGAAACAGAGATATTACACTTTTAAAAGTAAATTCAAAATTTAAAATACATTTAGAATAGCACTTCATTAAACATTAGCTGTGATTAAATTTTCTAATCCAGATGTATGTAAATGATATGATTAATTTACATAAATGTATACATTACTTAATATGCATTTATTATGGATTGAATGCATAAAATGGCTCATATATTCATGAAGCAGTTATATGCATTATGAGTAAAAATTACATTTTGTGAAACAATCAGAAATAATTTCCAATATGCAGAAACAAAATTATTAATTTATTTCAAATTCCCATCATTATCTGGTTTAATATTTAGCCATAAAACTTTCTTCTAATGAAGGCACTAAAGTAAGTTTCCTTGAAAACCTAAAAATAAGAAATTATTAAAATAAAAATATAAAACAAAAATTTACATTTACGCACTATAAAAGGCACAATACATACGTCATCAAAAACAATTTTACCCTCTTAGCATGCATATCTAAGCAAGACGTGGGTGATTTAAAAAGTTATTCTACTAAAATATATGTGAATGTGTACTGCCCAGGTACCTGCTATATATTTTCATAAATTTACCATGATTCCTAAAGCAAGAAATATCTAAATTTTCATTTTTAAGATGAAAAATAACCAAATTTTAGCTATTTTCAGTTTAAAAGTTATTACTTCAAACTGTTTTCCTTGAAAGAGAATGTGTCTTATAGGCTTAAAAAATATACTAATAAATAAAACTTAAAAAATTTTACAAATTTCAGTACAGTACAATAGTGCAATATAATCAAAATCAGTATGATAAACTAAAAATATAAGTTTGGATGACACTGCTCATCTCTTTGCAATTTAACTTTACTTCTATTAAAACCAGTTAATAAAGGTAGCCAAATGAAAATGCTAGATTTTTTATCTGAAGGGGGAAGCTATATACGTAGCGTATTTGGAAACTAAGTACCGTTTCATTCTAGCGCCGTCGCAGTGCTGTGGTAGGCGTCCCACGCATGCGCACTAGTCTTTCTTGTTCACTGACTTTCAATTGTCGCCATTTTGGTTGCTCTATGTTGTGTTTTCAGTTTGCTGTGCGCATTCAAAATGTTTAAGACAATTAGTTCTCCCGCTGACTGTGAGATTCGTGCCGTGATTAAATTTTTGAACGTGAGGAATGTTAAACCGGCCGAAATTTATCGTCAAGTGACAGAAGTTTATGGTGAATACGCAATAAGTGATGGAATGGTGAGAAAGTGGGTAAGAATGTTTAATGCAGGTCGAACAAATGTACACGCCGAGGCTCGGAGTGGTCGGCCTTCTGTTGTCACCGATGATTTGGTAAGGAAAGTTGATGAAGCAATTCATGAGAACAGACGCTTCACAATGACAACTCTTTCAGAGGCATTTTGACAAATTTCACGTACTGTTTTGTTCAAAATTGTATCTGACCGCTTGAATTATCGCAAACTGTGTTCCCGATGGGTTCCAAAAATGCTCACTGATGTTCACAAAACAAAGAGACTTGGTAGTGCCCTGACATTTCTCACGCGGTACAGTGATGAGGGAGAAAACTTTTTAAAACCAAATTGTGACAGGTGATGAAACTTGAGTGTGTCATTTCACACCAGAATCGAAACAACAATCAATGGAGTGGAGATACACTCATTCTCTGAAAAAACAAAAGTTCAAAGTGACAATGTCATCACAAAAAATCATGTGCACTATCTTCTGGGATAGGAAAGGCGTTTTGCTTACTGAATTTCTTCCCAGAGGTGAAACCATTAATGCTGCACAATATTGTGAGACTAACAAAACTAAGGCGTGCCATTCCAAACAAACGAAGAGGAATGCTCAGTAAAGGAACTGTGTTGCTCCATGCAGTGCTTGGCCCCATACTGCTGGTGTCACTCAATCGTTAATTCAACAGTTTCATTGGGAGCAGTTCGATCACCCGCCGTACAGCCGGACTTGGCGCCATCCGACTATCACTTGTTCCTGCACATGAAGCGCGAGCTTGGTGGCAAGTGCTTTGGATCTGACGGTGACACGAAAAATGCTGTGGAGTCGTGGTTATCGAAACTGGTGGGAAGTTTCTTTGACGATGGTATACAAAAACTGGTCACCCACTATGACAAGTGTTTGATCAGGGTTCATAGCCACATTTTAGTTAAAAAAATAAGCACCTATAAGCACATTTTAAGAAAAAAAATAAGCACCCGTCTAATTATATTATACACAACTGCATAACCTTAAAAGAAAAATTAGACTTGCAATTTAAAATATAAGCAATGCAATATTTATCATGAGAATGAGCATTACCTCAACCATGGAAAACAATTTTTTTTTTTTTTTTTTTTAAATGACAGTTCAATTTACAGAATTAGTTTACAATGAGAGAAAAAAAATGAATATGCAGAACTAAACTATATTACAAGATTTAATGATGAAATTTCAGTTCAAAATGTAGAGAAAATAAATAATAATAAGCCATATTTAATTGTATTCGCTTGGCACCTAATAATAAATACAACTTATTTTTCCACTCATATTAATATTTAAATAATTTAACTTGTATCAAAATTCTGAACATTTTCTAAATTTTCAATTGCATAACATTTTTTCCCTTAACAGATATTGCAAGCAAAGTAATTTAAGTAAAAAAAGAGGAACATTTCTGAAATTAGGAGACGGGAAATTGCTTCATGCAGTCATTCCTTTAAACAGTAAAAGCTTAACTAACCCGACATACTCGGAAATAAGAAATTGCCGAATATTCCGATAGTCGGGCGTAACTGGAAAAAGAGGAGCGGGGGGGGGGGAGAGATTGTAGCCGTTCTTTAGATTTTCTCGGCTAAATAAATGATTTTGACATTTCGATATGTGCATCATATAAAAATAGACCAACGAAACTGAAGAAATATTCTGCTTAGCAAGCACAGTAAAACTCTTTTAAGTGTTCATAAATAAATCTCAGAATGAACATCAAAATTAATCATATCTGCAAATATCGCAAACGTTATTGCGCAATACGTGCACCGTAATTCTTCCATATGTGATATTACGCAATCGGAATCAACAACTGCCGGTATTCGGAGAATAAAGAACTAAATAAAGGAAAAACGCCTCTTTGCTTCTTCTGGTTTTCACCGCCATGCGCCCATGTGGCATATTTATCATTGAGCAGGACACGTCGGATTGACTAAAGAGATTTACCAATCAGGGGTGTTTTTGATTCTAATTTTGAAACAGATTGCGTTAAATTTCCGGCAATACAATCATTTCTTCGCTTGGGTTGGGTAGACCGCAAAACTTTTAGTCCCTATTCAATGCAGATTGGAACAGGTGACCCCCAAAAAAAAAAAAAAAAAAAAAAAGCTGCGAACTGTAACGGTTTCAATACTAGAGATTTTGCGGAGAAAGGGGAGAACCTCCCAACCTCCGTACTGTATAATGTATTGGGGGGGGGGAATATTCTGACTATTCGATTACTTTCCTTTTATTTAAGCCATTCCGCATATTATTCCTTAGAAAGCTAATCTGTGTAAAAATACACCCATTTTTGGAAGTTTATCTACACTTCAGGAGCTACTGCAACTATATTACTATAAATATTCATACATATGCTCATAATATACGCATAACGATCATAATAAACACGAATATGAACTGACCACGCGGAACGAGAATGCAAATTAAAATCTTGATAGAAATTCAAACGTGTGTAGCATTTGGGTGGGCGGAAAAGAATACCGAATTACCGGAATTTTCTACGGTTTTCGCAATTCTTTGACCAAAAGAACGACGTGCACCTGTCTATACTCTCGCGCGCACCATAGGTTACGTTAATGCAGAGAAAGGGGGGGGAAGCTATTTCCGGGAGTATGATTCACCATCTGACGTTCCATATAAGGAAGAAAAGTTGTTTATTTAGTTTCGGCTTTGGTACGGGAGGAAAAATGCGCGTTCATTAAAAAAAGCACTAAAAGCAAAAAATAAGCACTAAAAACAAAAAAATAAGGGCTTTAAAGAAAAAGTAAGCACCTATAAGGGCCCTTATATTTTATTTTCAAATATAAGGACTTATAAGCACTTGTAAGGACGGCTACGAACCCTGTTGATCATTGGCGGAAACTATGTTGAAAAATAGTTTAAGACATGTATTTTCATGTAAAAATAAAATTGGATTCGAAAAAATTGTTTTACTTTTTTTTTTTTTTTCTTTTCAAAACGGTATTTTGTTTCCGAATACGCCTCGTATAAAAAAATGTTAATTTACTTATCACTTTTCTGGGTATAAAGCAACAGTAGTAAGTACAGTACAAAGTATGTAATCCGGATGTCCATTATCCAGAATGATCTATAATCCGGACCTCAAAGCCACAATTTTTTTTTTTTTTTTTTTTTTTTTTTTTTTTTGTATGCTTTACACATGCGTGTTTAATGCTACGCATGCGCGTCTAATGTTTACGCATGCACGTTAGCACAAAAAATGAAGCAACTTAAACAACTTACACTGAAAGAAATGTTTAATAAATTAAACAAATAAATATTAAGCTCTTTTTTTTTTTTTTTTTTTTTTTTTTTTTTTTTGTAAATTTTGATACCCTTTAGATCACAATTGCTCTTTATTTCATAAATTACGGTTTCATATTTTTAACTGTATAATTTCTGCATGACATCTTACCAGATTTAAATTGATGATCTATAATCCGGAAAACCCCTTATTCCGGAACCGCTGAAGTCCCGACAAGTCCGGATTACGAACTTTGTACTGCATTATTTCTTTATGCTTATAAATAACCTCATTTATTCCAGCTCTCAAGTCAGTCAAATCTTGTTGTGGTGCAACTAAGGTTGGGGAAAAGGGGGAATACCTCTGGGTGCCAAAACTGATGTTACGAAATTTTAGAATGAATTGGCACAGAGAAAGGGTAGTAAAATCTTCAGCTGTTCCTGGGTGCTGAAAACCCTAACTAAGGCTCTGAATATATCTGAATTATTAACATGCAGATCCATTTGAAATGAAGTTTGACACTCCCTAACAGTATGCCCACAAAACAGTAACCCACAAAAGTCCTTATCTAGTTTGTTTTCACAACCATTGTCTTAGACATACACTTTCATACTTTTCAAAATCGGCAACCCATTTACAGGAATAAAGCCTACAACTACCTTTTTCAAACACCATGCATAACATATGGAAAAGAAACTACTTGGAAAAGAAAACAAATGATTTAATGTTTAATTACATTTTATGTAAGATGAATCTTAAATATTATAAATTCAAACATTACTCTGTTTTCATTTGCCCCAAATTTTGAAACTATAAGACAAAATAATCATCTTAATATATCTCATTCTTATATTATTTCTGCTCTTATCTCAGCCAATTGCATAAAACTCGTCTCTGGAACTGGATATTTATTTCAGTTTTCAGTATATTTGTGAAAATTAATTTCAGAATTTTTTCCCTTACGAAGTAAACATAAAAATAGCTTATACGTAGTTATTACACTATTGTTGGAGGAGGAAGATACATAGTTATTACACCATTGTTAGAGGAAGTAAATGTTCATGTGGCTGTCCTTTATCTTGCTTCATAAAAATTTTGTATTCAAACATTTTTAAAATACATACATAATATGAAATTTTGAAATAACTGAAGTAAAAAAAAGTATTTTAATAACCTATTTCAGAAGTGCCAAACTTCTGCATTTAAATGAACCAATTTCAGAAGTTTAATAGCACCAAGAAATAATAACCTACTTTTTTAATCCATTATTTAGGAATATATTGAATAATAATAAAAACTATTTATTTCAAGGTTAGTAGTTGTGTATTCAGAAAGCTTTTAGAAACTGTTTGTAAGTCAGTTCTATTTTGGCATGCAAAAAAATATTATCTAGTCAGCTTCAAAGTGACAACCATTGGAACACATACATTTACTCCAAGTACTCTTGATATTCCTGATAGCATCAACAGAGCACCCTATTCTGATATGTGTCATATACTAATAGTTGCATTCATTTTAGCTAGCCAGATTATCTGAAAGAGTTGACTGCATAGAATAATCTTGATTATAAAGATCAGCAAGACAGAAGGTAAGAAAAAGTAATTGGAGCATAACAAAAACTTGTTTCTGATCTTTGGGGGGGGGGGAAGAAGCTTCATTTCTTAAAACATGAATTGCACCAAACAGTCAAAAGAAAGTTTAATTTTTTTTTATATTATAACAAGAAACTGTGCTGTTTTGCATGAATACTTCTTCTATACTTCTATTATTGTATTTATCAATATGCAAATTCTGTACACTAAATTTGTTTAATGAACATCGCTGATCGCCAAGTCACCCCCGAGTCTGGGTGTAGCAGTTGGTAGATGATTCCCTCAGTTCAGAATTCAAAGCTGAATGTCTTGATGGGGGTGCAGCTGCTCATCTGATGGTCTAATCTATACTTTTACAGAAAGTATGGTAACACCATATAATAGTCAATTTTGGTTATTGTACATTTTATGCATGTCTAAAACATGCATAAAATGTACAAGATACTTTTTGCAGCTTCTCGAACACAGAATTTATTTTAAATTGCTTTTTTGAGTAATTTCCTCAGATAAAAAATACCAAGAACAAAAATTAATACTACAAACATAAGAAATTAAAAATATTGTGCTGAATAAATTTTACAGTAAAATATTTATGTTCTAAAATTTTATTTCTCAAAATTTAATATGTTAATTTTAATGTATGTGTAAGAAGCATAATAGTTCATTTTATGTAAAACTAAAATAGACATTAATGTAGTAATAAATATTGTGACCGCTTATCAGCCTTTTTCAACAATATAATATTGAAACTCTAAACATTCACTGTATATTATAAAAGGAAAACAGACATGAAAATACATACATATCTAAAAGTGTGTGTTTAATTTCATTAATATAGGCCATGGGAAAAAAAGTCACATATAGCCTGCCAAGTTTGATATGAATTAATAAGTCTTGTGTAATTTGGTTATAGCATCAGACATTTTGTAGCATTAAATCGCCTTCCAAAAAAGTTTAAAGAAATATATGTGTGACAAAACATTAAAAGTAAATAAATAAATAAAAATCAGAAATTTAATCAGCCCATTTCAGTCAGTTATGCAAGTTTAAAAAGGTAAGCTATTAACTTGTACATAATATTTGATATGAGGGAATACTTACTTCTCAAATCCTTGAACAATTTCATTTACTTTGTTTGGATGGCAACATATGGCACAGCGCGACTTACTAATATCAAATAGAGGTTTTAAGTACTTAATGCCTACACGTTCCATATCTGATGTAGTCACCTGTGATATTTTTTCTAACAAATTTCGGGTGTAATTCATGTCTATGTTGCGGTAATAAGCTTTAAGTGATTCCTCAGCTACATCAGCAACTGTTTTGATTTTCTCAATTATTTCGAAAACTGCACTGCTTGAGGCAGATTCCATTAATTCCTTTTCCCACTTAGATTCTCCATTTAAATGAGACTCCTAAAAAGAAAATAATTTATTATTTTAAACTGTAACTTCATATGTAAAATATTTGATAGAGAAGAAATGCAAATCATGTTAGTCTTTCAAACAGCAATAATCAAAAACAAAAATTTGTATCCAGAGAGGGGAAAGTGTTTCAAATGCAAAACATTTAAATAAGCTTTCTACTATATTTTAGTCAATTCACTTTCCCCAGTATAACAAAGTAACATTCTTATATGTTTACATCAACTGTTAAATTATTTCTTTAAAGTAGAAAAAGAAAGCAAGGCAGATATAAGAAGGCTGTCTATTTATACTGTTTTACATGAAAAAATAAAATCAGGGATTACATATGAGATAAAATGACTTCACATATGCAATTATACACATCGAAATGCTTCCATATTAAAGAAAATTAAATTACCTAAATAATATATTTTGAGGTAAGACTAATAAATATACAACCCCCCCCCCCAATTTAAGAGTTAAGGAAATGAGCTATGAATTATCTTAACATATACTTTCAATGTTAAAGTCTTTTAAAGATTCTTTTTAAAGTCTTTTAAAGATTTATTTTAGTTTTTAAACTTACTATTTAAGAAGAAATATCTTCTTTCATTGATTAGTCAAAACATTTACTTCTACACCATAATGACACAGATGTTATAATGTTAAAATGAAACTGTTAAGATATTTCTTAATTGCTGCAATACTGATGCATCATCATCAACTATGTGTGGATACAATGGGGAAGGCTGCTGATTTAAATGTTGACTAAAAGACTGTAATTACCAGAAGTCTTATACTGGGCTTATTAATACACAGTTTGCTTAATGACAGGATCCTGTAATTTTATAAATGCTCAAATGTTGTGTTTAGGGCATGCCTCAAACATTAATAATTCTTTTTTTTTTTTTTTTTTTTTTTTTTTTTTCCCTTCTGGTAAGGGGAAATAGCAGTAAACTTACATCAACCAGATTATTGAAAACTGATTAGGTTAACAAAAATTCAAAGAAAAACTTTATCATTGCACTGTGGCATCACACTTTTCATTAATGACATTGAATCACACTGTCTGGAGACAATTATTGTTTCTTTTAAGTCTTATAAGTGCTATATGATGGCTTTGCAGATTTCTCATTTGCTTTATTTTTCATAAAAAAAAGGAAGTTTCTGTAATTTTAAAACATTCTGATTATTTAAACTTCCTGGTTAGTTCAAGAGTTTTCTACCTTTTTACCCCATGCACTCCTTTCACCACTGTTATACCTCTCCTTTTCAAAACTCAAAAAATGCATATATATTTATTTAAATTTAGACTATTTTTTAATGTACTAGGAAAAGTTGATAAATACTAAAACTTGAATAAAAACAGATTTTCATATTCATAAATTTAAAGGTTAAATAAAAGCCTGAAAGCATCCCCTGAAACTATGAAAATTCCTCTTCCATGGAAGAGAGACCCTGGGTTAGTTGAATGCCATATAGTCAGGCTTTTACTGTACATAATTTCTGTATTTAGAAAATAAATGCTAAATTTACATATACAAATGATTAAATGTAAAATATTGTTTATGAACTTTTTTGAAAGAAAACTGGTGAAAAGTAGGTGCTTAATTTGAAAAGTAATTTGCTTAATTTGTGTCATGTTTGCTGTCCAGTGACTTGGCTGCATGTTGTGTGGAGTTTCTGTTTCCCTTTTACATGTACCTACTTAACAGTTTCACATCAGTCATCTCACTCAGTCAGCTCAATTGTGTCACAAACTGTGGAATACAAGAGCTGCGTGGGTTTTCTTTTTTTTTTTTTTTTTTCCCCCCTCCTCTCTTTCTAAATGCATTTAAAGTTAGTAATCATATGTTTTCATCAGCATGAGTTGCCATGAAAAGTAACTAATTGACAGAATAAAGGAGTTTGTACCCATATCATACTGTTCATTTACAAGGACAGGTGATGGAGAGTGGAGACTTGTAACAGCTACTAGGGGTAGCAGGAATTGTCGGCAACCTCCTATCACTTATTTAGAAGGACAGAAACATATACTCTAATTAAACATATGATTAGTGTACTTAATGAAAAATGTACTCACTCAAGGCCCACATGGGATTAAGCAGCTGGCTACAACATTTTGTAGTTTCTAAATGCAGAAGCATGAGCCAAAATCTCTACATATAATAAAACAAAGAGTCTGTCTATGTGTGTGTGTGTCTTTCGTTCGTGCTGCGAGCAAGCTAATAAACCCACGGCTATGAAATTTGATACATAGGTGCATCTAGACAACAGCCAGTGCACCTCGAAGCGATTTTTTTTCGAAATTCGAATTAGCATTTTTTTTTTTTTATTTTATGTTTTGTGACGAAATTGCGTCATTTTGACACCTAATGGGCTATAGGAAAGTGAGATTTTACTCTACCCATTCCATTTTCACATCGGCATGAAACGTAGGCACTTAGTAGCTATTTTTCAAACTTAAAATAAATTTCGTGTTTCAATAAATCGATTAAATATGAATTTATTTAACAAAGTGAGCTTAACACCTTTTCAACAGGATTTTTTCTAAAAATGTTTATGTTTAAATAATGTACAGTTTATTTTTCTTTGATTTTTGGACACGTTAAACTTTCATTCTTGCGACTGCTTTTACAAAAAGAATTTTGGAAAAATGATAATATTTTGTATTTTTTAAAAAAATTTTTTAAATGAAGCTTCCGAGTACACTTCTCACAGTAAAAAAAACAAAAAAAAAAAAAAAAAAAAAAAAAAAAAAAAAAAAAAAAAAAAAAAGATGATACAGCCTTTCAACATCCCTAATGAGACCTTGGAGTATTTCCATGAGCTTCTGTTGGCGAGATTTTAACTGAAGCCTGCTATAGGCTTTTAAACAATTCTCACCAACGCGCAGTTCCAATGCACCAGAAAGAGTTTTGAAATCTAGTCCCTGGTTTTTGAGCAGAATTTGAATGATATCTGCTCTCAGAAGAGTGGCAAGATGGCAAGCCTCAGCTTTGGAATCACATCCATTTATGTTCGCTACTACAGAGAAGTGAGTCTCGTACACTTGTCAGGAGGTATTTCCATCACAGTTGGATAGCTTTAGAGGTGTCAGAAAGATGTAGATACAAATTTAAAGGCATCAGATTTGTGTCAAGCTGTTATTATGGCTTTCTTCAATCTGTCAACTTCCTTGGCAACAGCAGCAGAAACTCTGTCAAGGATTTGTTGTCTGACAGCAGAAATTCTTCTTTTCATTTGTTTCTTGCAGCAGAAATTCTTTCTTCAAGTCTGTTTGGGCAGCTATGTTATAGATTTCTTCCTAATACCTTTTTGACTAGTACATGAATGAGTTGAAGCATGTGCAGTGCACCACAATATATGTATGTATGTTATGGCTCGAACAATAACATTTATAGTTACATGTTTCTCAATAGTATCAATAGTGGAGCACAATGATTTAAAATTGCTGATGAAAAATAAGACCACTAAATATAAAAAAATAAGCATCATCATATCATGCACAGCCCTCTCATTATATATTATATTAGTATTTTTCATAATTTATATTTGCTAATCAATGAGAAATACATCAATATTTTAAAACCTTTTTATAAAGTAATTTTTAAAAACTTGTTTTTGTTTTCCAATATTTTATATAGTATACTTCATCTCAGAGAGGCAACACCAATCAATACGTGAAAATGTGGGCTATGACCCAAAAAAGTTCAAATGGGTTTAACTGTTGATTTCAAGAACGGAAATCTTTTATTTTTTAATAGGGAAAGCAGTGAGTTCACCCCCTCAGAAATGGCAGATGTAGGCTACAAAAGGTGGGAACCTATGATTTAAAGTCTTTTTTTAAGTGCAAAATGGTGGTTGTATGAGGTAAACCAGTACATAAAAAAAATGATGTTGATAACAGCAGCAGATAAAAGCTTAGATAAATTTATTCTATGCATTACATCACAAATGAATTCAATCAGCACAACTGCAGATTATTTTGCCCATTTGTAGTTGCCAACACTCTTACATCAGCCTTTGATGCCAAACTTATTATTGGAAAGCTTCTATTTTTTATAACATTCTAAAAAAAAAATAAAAAAAAAAATCACTGATGAAGACAATCGTTTTCATAAACAACTTCTTACGGTCAATCCTCTGTAAAAAAAATAACAGCATTCAGTCACAACTTCATAAAGGTAGCTATTCAAAGCTTTCAGATTCCTGTTAATAGCCCAGATACCGTGAGAAATTTTAGCATCTATAGTTACAGATAGAGGACAAAGTCTCGAAGATAATATGAGACTACTATAATATTAGCTTTGAATTATTTTTTCCCTCATATTATTGCAGTAGTTTACTTGGATACACAAATCTGAAATAAAATTATTAGTATTTACTTACTTCTGAATAAATACAAAAATTTTAAGGTTTCATTTTGGAGAAAGTTCCTTTTTTTAATGTGAAAATTACATATTCATGTATAAGACATAAAACTATTAAACAAATTAATATGTACATTTTGATTTATGGGTATGTGTTTGTGTGCACACTGAGAAAGAAAGTCTGCATCTCATAGCAACTATGCAATTCAAAAATCAATTGTACAGAAAAATAAATTACATTTTTTTATGCGATTATATAAGTTAAATATTATATGAAAAATAAAAATTATCAAAAGAAGTTACTTACTACTATGTCACGTGCTTCTTTGTAAGCTTTAACTAAATGAGTTGCTTTGCCAATACTTAAATAAGTAAGACCAGAATCAGGAGCTGTACAGATGTAATAAGTGTATGCTAAGCCAAGACCTCGTATTTGTTTCCACATAGGGCCCTAAAAAAAAAAAAAAAAAAAAAAAAAAAAACAAAAAAAAAAAAAAAAAAAAAAAAAAAAAAAAAAGAACAAAAAGCTAAAAGATAATTAAAAAATTTCAGAAATGCTATAATATGAAACACATACCTGTACTATTCAACAGTCATTATTTAAGAGGTATCAGCAACCCCTATACCGACAATGTTAAATTGGCCATTTTTGATGTACCTTTTCTCAAAATCTGCTGTAGATACACGCTTGAAATTTTTTGCGTAATTAAAGTATGCCTATCTGATTATACTGAAATGAGCTTTTGAAACATTTTGAATTTTAGAGTAATTTACAGAACATTTTGTTAGGCATAGTAAAATTTAGCACTTTTTCACACAAAAAAAAATTTTTTTTCTTCTTAGTTTATCACAAAAAGCTCATTTCAGTAAATATTAGGAAACCTAATGAATAAGCCATAAAAATTTTAGATACCTGTGAGCAGTAGTTTCTAAGAAAAGGTACATCGAGTAGAAAAAAATCAAGTTTGGAGAAAAACGCTTTTATATGTAAAAATCCTCATTTATCAAAACATTCGATGAGAAATTAAAACTAGATTTTTTTACAGTTCTAATTTTCATAGAGATTAAAGAATGGTATTTTTAGAAAGATAAAAATGTAGAGAATTTGAAAATGCAAAAATCTGAAATCACCATTTTTTGAAGATTTTTTGTGTTCCAACACCCCTTAAAAGAATGTTTAAGGGCTTAAATGATTATGGATGGAAATGGTCCCTTAACCACTTTTTTAATACAGTTCTACTAAAATTGTCAAAAATTACCTCAGTTAATACATTAGACATTCATAAAATCTATCAATTTTTATTATAATTTTAAATCCAAACCTATTCTTAAAGTTTTTAAAATCATTATCTCAAAAATTTTAATACCTCCCTTTTTATCTTGTTCAAAAACTAGCATGACAATTATTCCTTCTTTCACTATCTATTTTTATTTTATTTATTAAAATGAGATATAAGTCTGATGAAATGGTACAGAAAATATTTGCTCCTTGAAGAAGGATCCTCTCAAGGAGTATAGTTAAAATGTGTACACTTAAAAATCCATAAAGCTTTTCAATAAGATCAACATGAAATGAAGATTAAGATTTATTTCATTTTAAAGCCACAAGTTTTGTAAATTCAGTAATAAAATTTGTGATTTTGCAATGAAATTCAAAATTTTAGAATTCATGTGACCATTATCATAAGTTCTACTGCTTTTCAGTTTTTTTTTTTTTAATAGGCCCTGCTGAAAAACAATATGGTGGTTTTATAGTTCAAGGTGTTTCACTAGATAGTACCCTTCTTTTATAATTTCATTTTTCCCCCTTTCTACAGAGAAACATGACATTCTGTTTTTCTAAGTGTAACAAAATGCATGGTTCATAATACTCATCAGAAATAACAGCTCAATATATTTCAATGAGCTGCTGAATTCAGAATTTGTGTATCCTTGAATAGTGGATGTTTCTTTTGAAGCATTATAAAATATTTTCTGTGGCTTACACAATCCTCCAATTTGCTATCATTGCCCAACTAAATAATTACAACCTGGAGCCTGTTTTAGAAAATATAGTAAGGAATCAATGTCCAGCAATAGTACCTCTATGGAAACTAATTTCTCCATCAAAAATTGAATAACATTCCTTTGAACACTAATCAAATTTCCTTAATTCTACTGTAAGCTGAATTAAGGCAGTTTTGTGTGCCAGAAAGTTTTGTGTGGTCACATTAACAAAAGATTTTGTACGAGGGCAATCCCAAAAAAAGGTCTCCTATTTTTGGGGGACGTAGAGAAAGTTTTAATACGCTTGTTGGCAACACTTGTGAGTGGTGCCTTCTCCGCTACCACATAAGCACGCAGGCGCTTCGCTCGGATGCTCAGTCTTGGCTTGGCAGCCATTCGAAATGGAGCTCCCGTAAAACGTTACCGCCAAGTCGAATTGCGCGCAGTTATTCAATTTTTGAACGCAAAAAGCGTTAAGCCGGTTGAAATTCACCGCCTATTGACAGAAGTGTATGGACAGTCGTGCATGGATGTCAAAAACGTTCGCAAGTGGCGTAGAGAGTTTACAGCCGGTAGTACTGAAATTCATGACAAAGAAAGGAGCGGGAGGCTGTCAATTGCCAACGAGACAATCGCGAATGTTGAGTCTCAACGTTCGCGATTGTTGAGTTCGTATTCGTTAGACTTTCGCGATTGTTGAGTTCGTAAAATGCGTAAAGATCGGAGGATCATCTGGATGCTCCTGAAGCTCCTCAACGCTTCCTGAAGGGCATGGCGGCAAGCTGGTATGACATGGGCATTGTAAAACTGCCTCAGCGTCTACAAAAATGCATCAACCGAAATGGCAATTATGTTGAAAAATAAAGCATTCTGCAATCTTTAAAGTGATGTAGCAATTATAGAAAATAAACGGTTCTTTGTATATCTAAAAATCTAGGAGACCTTTTTTTTTTGGGATTGCCCTTGTATTATTACTTAACATTCCAACTGTTTTAACAGCTACTTAATCCTCTCAGCATTAAGGATGGAAAATTCCATATAGAAGGGTGGCTTTCATATTCATTACACGTGAAAATTTATGCTAGCTTTTAATGTACCCGATTTGGGTTGGATGTATATTGGTAGAAAAGGAATCAAAGTACAAAATGAGAAAGTCATTTCTTAATTATAATCAAGAAAATACCATTTATTTGAGACATTTTAAGGAACACTGAAACTTTAGGGCTAAACTCGTAATGCTCGGAGTGTTAAGTAATTTCATGCAAGCAAGATTTTTCAGATAATCAGGTAGTCGAACTACAAAACCATTTTCACATAAACACACTGATTCAAAATAAATGATATAACCAACTGATTTTAAAAGTAAGAGAATACACAGTTAAAGTCATTCAGATCTTGTATTTAGTAAGGAAAATGAAAATTACCTTAGAGAAAGATGCAAAAATTATATCTTTATGTTTTGTAACTATATATGTAAAGAGGATTTTCAGCAATAAAAAAGGATGCAAACGTTAAAATATTATCAATTAAAAATTTAATAATATGCAAAAAATTAATTAAATTGAAACTCAAACTGGGTTGTGTATTTTATAACTGTTATAGTATTACTAATTCGAGGCTAAAAAATTTTATATGCTAATAACACACTGGTCTGCGTTAAAATAACATGTCGAATAACGGTTATTGAAGAAGTCAAACAACATGAATCAGCATAATATTTGTACACTTTGCAGGACTAGTTTTCATGGTTTAAATACAGAACCATCTTCCTCAGCTGCCTAAGTGCAAATGAATGAGGTAAGATATGGTGGTTTGTGTGATTATGGCAAAACCTCAAGGGCTACCTGCCTAAGGGGGAAGGATACCTTTGTAGAGGACTTTCTAAGGGAAACTGGCTCGTATAATCGTTACACATGAGGAAAACCATGAAAACGCCCATGCAGCCAGCCTGTTCATGAGATTTGAACCTCGGATCGAACTACCAATTTTAAGTGACTTTACCACTTGACCACTGGTTGGCATAAGCTATGGTGATAAGATAAGAATGGCTGGAAAGAAGTCAAGCTACTGGCACCATCTATCAGTGAAAGGAGAAAAATAAAACATAACTTCCTTAAAGGTTGAAGATAAAGATGAATTGCAATTAGGGTTATTAACTAGAACGGAAGGAATTTTTAAAAAAAATTTTTAAATATGAATGGAGGCATTTCATAATCAAAAAAATTTTTCTGTTCTAATTAACAATCCCAATTTCAACCCATCTTTACCTCCAGCCTCTACAGAAACTACGTTTTAGTTTTCTTGTTTCATCGATAGAAGGCACCAGTACTTCTTTGAAGCCATTTTTATCATATCTTATGACCATACCTTATGTCGTTCATTTGCACTTAGGCAGCTGAGGAAAATGAATGACATAAGGACACTTCTGTATTTAAATCATCAAAACTAGTCCTGCAAAATTTACAAATATTATGCTGATTCTTGTTCTTTGACTGGTCATCAAAATTAAAGGATAATAAAACATAACTGATACTTAATGAAAATTATCAATAGAATTTGTACAAAAGCATTAGTTAAAATAAATTAAGATTGTTTTTGGCAGTTGATTTTTCATAAAATATTGAAATTAAAACTATATTTATGGAAACTGGAAAATGATGGAAAAATTAAATCACTTCTTGTCAAAAGCACTTTTCTTTAGTATGGTGAATAGTCACCTTGGACAGATATGCACACTTCATATCTTGATTTCAAAGACTTTACCAAAGTGTTGGTTAAGGTCTTGTGGAATTGCTGCACATTACTCTTCTAAAAGTGCACTTTTCAACTAGTCCGAGGAGGAATTTGGCATGCTGAAATCAGTGCCCTAAGAAAATGAGCTGCCACATCTCATACATGCTCAATTGGGTTCAAGTCGCGTAAGTAATGTGGCCAATCCATTCGATTGATATATTATGTTTGCAAGTATTCTGATACCGCATATGCTCGATGAGGCACTGTCATCCATTAGCAAAAAATCTGGGCCAACAGCATCCCTAAAATGTCTAATGTTGGGTTCCAATACCTAGTCCACATATCTCTGAGTGGTTACAGAACATCCTTGAAGGATATGCAGCTCGGTGCAGTCATTTGCCTTGATTCCTCCCCAAACCATTAAACTGTTGTCACAGACACAGGATATTTCACAGACAAGGGAAAGCAAATAGCATGTTCCTTTCTCTTTCCATCTAGAATCAATGTTCAGACTATGTCTGGACTTTTCAGTAAAGAATACTCCTGGTACTTTTCAGTAAAAGAATACTCCTGGCCTGGTCATCTTGGCTCCATTGAACATGACGACAGCACTAGTTTAAACAGGCCCCTCCCTGGAAGCTGGAGTGAGTGGAATGCAAAGCATTGGTTTCATATAGTCTAATTTCATTAAGCCTTCCTGCAGCAGTAGAACAGCTAATTTGATACCTTATGGCAACCCAAAGGTCTAAAATTAAATTTCTTGTAGTCATTTTGAGGTTTCTTTGAGCCAAAAATGACCCAAAAAAATGGTTTTCTGATGCAGTTATTGCTCTTGGTCTCCCTTGACCAGACTGTCTATGAACTTATGCAGTGCTTAAAAAGTGGTCCAAAACTCTTAATATGACACTTCGAGGGATATTCAAATCTTAGACGACCTCCATTTGTGTTTGACTTCCCTCAATCAATTATTCACCACTTTTGACCTTCACTTAAATGATGCCTTTGAACCATAACGACTGAATGCTGATCACTCTCAGAAACCACATTCACTTTAAACAACACTACAGCATGGAATTCTAACATCATTCTTTCACGCACTGCATTGTCAATCACTGAATTTGCATACTTCCAGTGCGAGGCATTGGTTGCAACATTAACTTATTGGGCATATTTTTTCTCATTATCTTTTAATTTTGATGACAGGACTAAAATAATATATTGTAAAATAACATAATAGAGTAATCACATATATAAATTTTTATAGCAATAATAAAATTTATATGACAAATATTATAAAGCAAAGTAGCATTACCTCTACAGTTTATTAGCTCCCGGTTAGAATCTTTTTTGGCAATAGAGGTTACTAGTTTATATTTAATAAGTGGTTCATTCATATATATACACACACACACAACTTAGTGAGTTCAAGTATTTTGTAATTATATCCTTTCTATAATTTATTAAAAGAAAGATATAGCTGTGTCTAATTTCTATCAATACTACTCCTAGAAAATATAATACTATATCAAATTATGCTCTAAGTAATGCAATAATACAACCACTAATACTAATCTCAGTTATAAGCATGCAAAGCAAGCTATCAAAAAATCCTACAGTAATGATATTAGTTCCATATACATAGCATCTATAGAAGTCTTTATGTGGCTTTTGTTTTTGCAAACACTGGCTGTAGACATATGTTCTCAGTTACAAAAATGCTTGAAATAATACAAATATCCATGTCTCAACAATCTTAAGTTTTTTATAACAACTACAAAATATAATTTTTTACACAACCCACAGATCTCTACAGTTATGCTTATGAATATTTTATTTAAAAAAATTATGCCATCCTCAAATCTCAAGAACATTTTATTTAAAAAATAATAAAATACAAAACGTGTGAGTTTTATGACAAAAATTGACCGTGATATATGATTTTAAAGTTTGAGATCATATCCAGAGGCCCTACAAAAATTCTAAACTGAAATGTTTGTATTCTAAACTGAATCAAAAATATCAGTTTTGAAAAATCTTTCTGATGTTCAACAATTAAGGGACAAGCATTTCGATGCAAAATTGTTCGTACTGAATTTTTTGAAAAAGATCTTAAAATTTCATAAAATTCATGTTCAAGAAAACACTGGCAAGCTAGAGCACTGGCACATAGCCACACTGTAACATTATTTTCATAAATTAAAAATGAAAAATATTTCTAATTTAATTAACTTTTTGTATTATTATTAGATTATGATGCTTAAGTAATAAGACTTCCTGAGATAACACATTCTAGTGTTTGAACACTTATATTATGTGTGTGTAAATTCTTTTCTCATATTATTTGTAATAATATAAAGAATGTTATATGCATGTGCAAGGAATGAATACTAACCTCAAGTTGAGTAAGATATTGAATTAGGACTAAAAGAGGTGCATAATCAGGATGTGTACAGTCATTTATGCCTGGTGCACACTGCAAAATATAGGATGATTCCACAGAGCTAATACCAGTAATTAGTCCTGATTGGTTATCTTCAACATCTTGCTTTAGTAACTCACAGCACTTTTTAACAGAGCAGCTAAATACATTAAAGAAATATTTAAAATAAATCTAGGCATAATATTTAAAATGTATTACAATTTTAGAAAATATTACTTCATTTTAATACTATTTTATTCAAAAAAAAAAAAAAAAAAAAAACATGAAGAATAAACTTACAAATATTTTACAAAATTTCTAATTAATTAAATAAAATTATATGTCATTCTTAATAAACAAGCAATATACCCTTCACATGTTAGTGTAAACACAACTGAAGACTGACATATACCTGGAAGAAACCTACAAGCCATTTACTATTACCAAACCATTTATGTCTAAATAACAACAAATGCACAAGTTTGACAGTATAAAATATTAATTATCTGTAAAGCAAAAAATATCCATATGCTGCTAAAATTTGCTTTATCATTTGAACAGCATTTCTTATATTTTTGGACAAAAAAAATATTAAACATATATCTTTACAAAGAATGCATTATATTAACACTAAAAAAAAACTGCTAGTATTACAATTGAACGTCATGAAAATATATCTTTACGAAATGTCCAACTGCAGTAAGATAGCTTTCCCGCAAAGCAGGTTTGGGGTTACGAGAAAATGCCAAAGGAAGGCAGGGTTGCCAGATTTCGCACGAAATCTCCCAGAGTGAATTCCTATCGGTTTGGCCCAGAATGTTTTCAAAGGCAGGCCAAATGCTATATAAATCCTGCCTGTATGCAGAGTATCGTCAGTGTATCACGAGTTAGTGCATTGCGAGAATGCATCATCAGTTTATCGTCAATTTACATTTTGAGGGTGTTGAGCTAAGAGAGCAATCGACCGAATTGGGAGCTGTACTTTAGTGTTTTGCCATAAAGCTGTCTTCACCATTATAGCCTGATTGATGGCTGTGTTGCTGATTGTTTCAGCATGTTTGTTGATACAAGTTTTGCGACGACTGTAGACGTGATTTTGGAGCTGCCCTGAGTAATATTGGCTAAATAAATTGTGTTTCGATTCTTCATCAATCACTCCAAGTCTTCGAGCCCGTAGAATGCAACAACATCAAGTTTGGTTCATCTGATTATGGCAAAGGCTATGCACATAAAAGGGAAGGTTGTCTTAGTGAAGGAAGTCTGGGGAAAACTAGTTCATATCCACAGCACACATGGGAAAACTATGAATACACCCATGGAGGCAGCCCATTCACTTGTTTTGAACCCCGTCGAAATACTAGTGTTCAACAACTTTACCACTCAGCCACAAATGAGGACATGAAAATACAGCCTTCATTTATTAAGATTTAAATTAAAACCTGTAAGTAATGCTTTATAGTAAAGCTCATAAAGATTGTATTCATTTACAGCCCATAGTAACCTTATATTTAACATTAGACACAAATTCCAAACATATATATATGTTACGTTAGCCAAGTCTGTTGCTGCAGAATCCATGACAACTGTCATTTTATACTGCAAATTATATTTAGAAAGATAAGTTGTTTTTAATTATCAAAATTAACAAATAACTAAATAACATATATCCCTGGCAAATTGATGAATAATATTTTATTATTTGTTGTTACATCATGCATGATTACCAACTTATGGTAGTTTGAGAAATAACTCATACATCAATATTTTGTTATATATATATATATATACCGAACAACAGGTTAATCTTTTATATTGACTTGGCAATAATTACAAACTTGGGAGAAATGAGCTGCAAAGCACTGTGTGCATTGATAAGGAGAAATTTAACATAAACTTCTCACTATATGCAAAAAATAGGTTTGCAAATGATATTCAAAAGCCAAAAAGATTAAATTTAGTACTGTTTGAAGAATTGATTTGTTATTTAAATAAGCCTTAAATATATGTGAGGATTTATTTATTCAGGACTCAGATAAGATAGCATATGTGGGAAAAAGGCATACGTATAACAAATAACTAATATAAATTCAGGCTTAATTTCCTCAACATGCTGTAGAAGCAGGATAAAATTTAGCAGAACAATATATCTTTAGTCGCCAATCCCATGATACACAGCCATTAGAGTACAGCAGATGCTAGCTAAGCTTCATGATAAAAGCTGGAAATTTGAAGGTTTTTGGATATCGCAAACCAAAAATAAAATTTCTGATTAATGGAATTTGCAAAGAAATGTGGAACAATGGTAAGAAATGAAGATGATATAACAGAAGTTTCTATTACGATGATGCCGTCCCAATTATCCATCAACTAACTGACAGTGAAATCTATAGAATGATTCTAAAACAAAAAAAAAAAATTCTGACTGAATTGATATTCTCAACATGGCAATTACCAGACATGAACAATGAAACTTAGTAACTGAAGAATAAGTTATGGCTATCTATAAAATTAAAGAGAAAGTATCAAAACAAAAAGCAAAGTAACTTATATTGAAAGAAATGTTTAATAAAGCAAATAAATATTAAGCTTTTCTTTTTGATTCCATTAAGTTAACAAATGCTTCTTTATTTCCTAGACAACGATTCACATTTTTAGTTGTCTAACTTCTATGTCATCTTAGTAGATTTAAAATTGATGATCTAAAATTCAGAAAATTCCTGAATCCAGAATTGCTGAAGTCTCATGGAATTTTGACTGATTTATTTTATAGAAACAAATCTATATTAAACTTTTACTGCATTTCAATTAAATACAATAATATTATATATTTATTACAAATATATAAAATTATTATCAATGATGACTATGTAACAACATTTTAAATGAAAATATTAATTATCAAAGCAGAGCAAAATTTCCCTATGAAAATGAGAGAAATAATTAAAATTCCATGTAAATATTTTTAATGAAGAATATATGAATTATGTCACTTATTATAGCAAAGCATTTATGGGATTTCACGAGGTTTGCCTTCATGGATAAATTCATTCATTAAAAAAAAAAAAAAAAAAAAAAAAAAGCTCATATTTATGTTCAATGAATGTCAGGGAAAAAACTATTAAAACCTCATACACTGATCCCTTGCCAGGTGTCAAAACCAAAATAAACTATCCGTATTTAGTGACCTTGTCAACCCGATTCACTGTGTACTAAATGAATAATTAATACTAATAAAAATGTTCATTACATAATTACAAAAGATTTTAAATATTGCTCAAGGAAAATATGGCAATTTGGAAAAAAAAAGAGAGAGAGAGAGAGAGAGAAGGAAAAGAGGAGGGGAAGAAAGAAAAGAAAAAAGTAATTACTTCATTATTTCAGGAGAAACAGATGGTGGATAAAGTTCTTGAATCCAAGCTTCCTCTGGTTTGACCTTTTGCTTCATGTTGTCTAAATTCAAAGCCAAGTGAACTGTCATTTTTTCAGGTTTTGTTACTGCCTCCCTTACTTCATTCAGTTTTGAAATAACCTGAAATTAATTTAATCATGGATATAAAAGAATTAAGTATAAGCTTTAGCTTAATTTTCTCAAATCCATACATGCATCAAACGTTTATACGTATTTTTCTTGAAACAATGATTTTGCAAATACATGATTTTGGCATGATGCCAACTAAAATTTTGAGGTCCCAGAAATCACTGAATCTCTTATCAGCAACTAGTATTCTCTGAGCCTCAATATGCTCAACACTCACTTTGAAAAAATAATAGGAAGGAAAGGCCCCTTTCCCCCAGGGCTGTGGAGTCGGTAGGGAAAATGAACGACTCCGACTGATTCCAGCTCCCTCAAAAGTCATTGCAACTATTTTTTTCTTGTAGATATGTGAACGGATCACATATATGTGTCATGCGGATATGTGTCATGCGGAAGTTCTGCAGGCATAGTGTGGATGCAGAACAACAGATGGCTCTGTGGTAGCGAGGGCTCTGAAATCAGTCAGTTGGTGAGTGTCGCGCGAGATGGAAGTAACACGTGTTGAGCAGCGCGCTTACATCAAAATAGCCGTTCTTCGAGGGAGAAATGTGATGGAATGTTACAGTGAATTAGTAGAAGCCCTGGGGAATAATGCCCTACCATATCGTACAGTAGCAGTGGGTAGGAAAGTTTCAGCAAGGATGTGTGTCAACTAGTGATGAGCAACGTTCGGGACGACAAGTGAGTGTGCGGACTGACTTGGCACATGCCGTCATCGAGCACCTCATGGATGAAGACAGACAATGGACGTTACTGGAGTTAGAGACGGCAAGTGGCATCGAGAAATGCACCGTCCACAGGATATAGCTTAATGAGCTACAGCTACGAAAAATCGCTTTGCGGTGGGTACCACATGCACTGACGGGATTTCAAAGGTGGGTGCGCTATGCAATATGCTCCGACCACTTTGCATGCTGGCAACAGAACAGCAATCAATTCTTGTCACGAATAATCGTCATCGATGAATTTTGGGAGAGGGCATATGAACCAAAACTGAAACGTTAGTCTGCAGAGTGGCGACATCTTGGATCACCAAGACAGCAGAAGGTCAGTCAGAATCCTTCCCCAGTCAAATTGATGGTGATCGTCGCGTATGATGTCAGGGGTGTCATTGTTTGCCACTTTGTTCCTCAAGGCAGAACAGTGACTGCACAGTACTACAGGGACTTCCTGGTGCAACAGGTATGACATAGCGTTTGGGATAAAAGTCCAGATCTTGTGGACAGTGCAATAATTCTGCAGGACAATGCAAGGCCACATAAAGCAGTGTGTACGGCAGCTACTCCGAAATTGGGGATAGGAAGAATTGCAGCACCCACCGTACTCTCCTGACCTTTTGCCCTGTGACTTTGATCTCATTCCCAAGATTAAGGAACCAATACGTGGTAGCCGGTTTGCAACATGAGAGGACATTGCTAATGCTGTGTGCCAACAGATGACCCGATTCACAGATGGTGCGACAAATGCTGAGGCTGATGGTATTCAGCGCCTCCCACATCGTTGGCAGCGTGTGGTGACAGTAGCAGGGGACTACATTGAGGGTCTTTAGGAACAGGTTTGTCATGTCAACTTTATGTGTATTGTGTTATCATTCTTTTGCACGGTGAAGGCCATATTGCCTTGTATACTACCATAATAAATTTGTGTGTTACGATATTTCAGTGCTATTCATTGTCCACACATGTAGTTAAGCCCTTGTCTATTCGTCTGTATATGTCACATTTTCTAACCGGACTGGTATCGTCAAAAAAAAAAAAAAAAAAAAAGAGTTGCCATGACTTTTGCCCCAACCTACGTATATATGGCTTTCGTCTATGGATGCCATTTTGGGTGACGTGTTGTTGCGTTAGATAAAACGATGATAGCTTGACTCGGTAATATTAACATTTTTATTTAATACTAGAAAAAGATATAGATTTCAACACACATTCACTCTCATACACAGTCACATTGAATGCAATTCACACGATAAGCATTTTTACAGGTAGCAAGTCCACAAAGGTAAAAAATCATGAAAGTTATATTACAGCTACGATGAAGGAGAAGAGAGGTGAACACGTGCTTCGACGGCAGCCAGGGACAGAGTTAATCCATCGTCGCGTACAGTTTCCTTACGCGAAGTTTCACATAACTACTGATGTCACTTCACTGATTACACACTGGATTTGACAGATGGTGCCATCTCTTGAATGGAATTCAAAGTATCTGTGAGAATGCCACAGTACTCCCCCCCCCAAGTACCACTGGTCCATTATATATTTTGGGTTAAATTTAACCTTTCTTCCAGATCTAGTAGTTTTAGGTTGCTCTTTAACAGGATTTAAACCTTTTGCTGTGGGCAGTGTTGGTGGAGAAGTTGCTGGATATTGCACCAGAAATGCTGGTTTGAGACAATCAATTCCAATAACTGATTGTTTGCCGTCACACATGATGGTGAAATGTTTAGGTGTCCATTTGACAACTTTGAATGGGCTATCATACGAAGGTGTTAAAGTTGCCTTAATTGCATCATTGCGCACGAATACATGAGAAGATGTCTCAAGCGCAGGATATACAAAATAACCTGGCTTGTTATGAAAGGATGGGGTTGGTGAGATATTTCTCATAGTATCATGCAGATGTTGAAGGAATGTTGAAGGATCGATGGCTGGAGTAGATACTGGATGAAAGAATTTGCCTGGCAGGCAGAAGGTTGCACCCTTTAACATTTCAGCACAAGTACTACCAATGTCTTCTTTGAATGCTGTAAGAAGACCGAGCAAGGCTAGGGGTAAGGCTTCTGTGCAGTATGTGTTATTGTGACACTGAAAGAGTTAGAAACTGGTTTGAAAATAGTTGTGTCTTGTTCACAACAGCTATTTTATTTATTTAGTGCACAATATATGCAGTACTGAGTTTGTGCAATTCTTCCTTTCTTTCTTTTTTAGCAAAACCAGATTACAGTATACATTAAATGAGCAACGGCATAAGAAATTATCGAAAAACATGAAATGTTTTATTCTGATTTTTTTTTTTTTTTTTTTTTTTTTGGGAGGAGGCCTGTTAGATTTTATTGATTGCTCTTTTATGAAATTCTTAGTGCACCACCATTTTGAAAAGACTCTTGTTTTTGCATACTAGCTTGTCAAAAAAACTAATAAATTCACAAATGCTCTCCAAAGTTGCCAACAAATTCATGACTTTTCAGTGGAGGTGAGAATAATTAGAAAGCACCAAATTAAGTCACTGAGCTGCCTTAGCTGACCTTATTTACTTATTTACTTTTGGTTAAAAAAGGGGGGCTTTGGCTTAGAATCAGTATCATTAATATAATAATGTTTTTTAACCTATCATTTCAATTTCTTGAAATTACCTTATAATCAAATAAATATATTATGTTAAAAAGTTGCTCTAATTTAAACAACTAATCCTATTTATTCAAATATCCTTAAATATTTAAATTTAAATCTTTAAAAAATTTATCCTTAAATTTAAATTCACTTTAGAAAATAAATTGAAAGAAAAACAACACTCACTTCATTGGCATCAGACTCTAATTTTTCAAGCAATTTTGACAAAAATGCATGTTGTCTTAACATGCTTGCAGTCCAGTGATTACTCTCTGGGCAATAGAATAAATTTTTTATCATAGTTTTTACTATGGAACCAGCACTGCGCTTCATTGTTGCAACATCTGTAATCATCTTGTTAATAGCTGATTTGATTCTAGCAGGTTCAAATATGATTTGATAAAGAATTTCACGAATCCATTGCACAGATTTGGTATATTTTTCTTCTTCTACCTAGAAAAAAAGAAAAAATCAAACAATTGTACTCAAATTTAAAATATGGATATTTTGTAATTTTGCAGTTATTATGAATTTAAATTAATATATTCAAACAGGCAATATCTCTCCAATAAACTGTTTTCTCTTCACAATATATATATATATATATACACACACACAGCGGGTGTTTACACACTTTTGTAACGATTTTGATTTTCTTCATTTCTTCATTTTAAAATACATCAAATTGGAATAAGGTTTTATCATCTTCAGCATTAAAAATATCCTTTTCTTTAAAATGTTGCTGAAAAGTAAACAACAGATCGAAGGCTATATTTTTGTGCTGTCCAAAAAGAAATACTCTTATTCAATTATTAAAAAAAGATGTGAAAAGCACAGTTTTAATATTTCTACACTTGAAAGAAGTCGCAAAATTAATATGAAAGGAAAGAAACATCAAAGCTTACATCTGACTGAGGAAAAAGACAAAAATTACATACCCAACAAAGGTAAGTACAGCTTTTATTAAATTAAGTCACATCTCAAGTTTCAAAGGAAAACCCAGCACCTCAAAAGAGCTATTGCAAAATCTTTAAATATTTCTCTAGGAACTGTGAATAAAATTATAAAATCTGATTTAAAGCTAATCAAAACAAAAAAAGCATGGTGTTCAGTGCCTAATGCTAAAACATGTTTTTCAGTTTAAGACTATGTGCAAATTGCTATAAAATTATTTGGCAGGTGAAAAATGGAATGAATATAATGAAATGTGTGTGTGGCTTCGACATACTTATCTGATGGCAACAGAAAAAGATAGATTTACTACCGAAAAGAGGAGAAAAAGACTCAATATGTTGGTTCAGAGACAAGGAAAGTTTTTATGGTTATTACTGGATTCTCTTATGATGGAAAACTTAAAATAAGAAAGTAGAAAGAAATGTCAAAATTAATTCGGATTAATATCAGAAATATGTTTTAACACCTATTTTTAAAGAAATCCCATCTCTTTATCCAAACAATCTTCACTATGTTAAGTTCTATCAGGATAAGGCTCCAAGCCATACCTCTAAATCTACTGCTCTATTTTTTTGAAAAAAAAAAATGAGAAATGAAACCAGAATTGAATCTATTCCTTTTTAAATGCATTCCACCCAAGTCCTCTGATGGATTGCTGTGCATTTGGACTTTTAAAAGAATTTTTAAAATAAGCAGCATCCCAAACCATTGGATGGACCTGGAAGATTGTGAAGGAGGAGTGGAATAAAATCTACCCTGATGTTTTAAGGAAAGGACTTTTACCTTGTAAATTAAGATGTAATATGATAGTTCAACAAAAGGGCTATCAGATTAAACATATTAGAAAATTGAATTCTAAGGTTTGTTTATATATAAATCCTCACCAAATTGTAACAAAAATGTGCGAACACCTCTGTGTATATATATATTGCCAACAATATATAACACACACACACACACATATATATATATATATATTGTTGGCAACTATACCAGTAAAGAAACAGAGACTATCTTTGCTAAAAGAAAGCAATTAATGTATTTCATTCTTGATTTGTTGTACTCCTAGGCCATAAGGTGGCAAGCAAAGGCTGATTGCCCAAGAATCATTCCAAGATCAGTTACTAATCAGTAATCAAGAATTCATATACTGGTGGAATATTTACATATATATAACATGATGCATTGTAGAGTAGGCATGAACATTGTAGAGTAGACATGGGAGGAGAGGTTAAGGAACAAGAGATCCTATGAAAGGCTTATTTGCACATTCTTTCTCCTCCTGCAAAAATTCTTCACACTGCCATATCTTCAACATCTTCATGGTTAAATTACCATTAGGAGTGGTTTCAGTTCCTAACTAATGGCAAATGTCAATTTAAAAAAAATATTCTGCTGAGCATAGCATATGACAAAGTCAAAAACATAATTATACAAACCATTTTTACAAAACAAAGTAGTCACATGAAGAGGATGCATAACTCTTGATATAATATAAGTTTACTATATGTGTACGTTCCCACTGTAACATTAGCTTGGAAAAGCATCAAAATATTGGTCCAGGTGGTTTACCTAATAAATATTGCTCGCACACTTTATACTCATATATTTTTATGCCAAGTCAGGCTAAGATATTTTTCTTTGTTTATATGTAAGATATAAAAATTAGAATATTTAATTTCATTATGAACATTAATCATGTAATAAATATATGATGAAGCATTTATAAAAAAATGTGAAGCATTTATAAAAACATAATTTCACCAACCTTAAAATTCAAACCATGATATGCTGCACTGAATATAATTAAATATCTGAAGTAAGCATATTTTATTATTCAAAATGTAATAGCTTCTAATTCAGACTGACAAAGACATCAATCAAAATCACACAACTTACTTTTCAAATGCGACAGTATTTCAGTAATAACTCATAGTATGGCAATAAAGCCTTTTTGAGAGTGTGTTACTAATAGCAAAGTATTATTAAAATAATGCTAGTTACACTTACAATATTGTGCTTACTTTGTAAGTGGGAAATACAACCAAGTAAAAAATGCAAAATTTACTTCTGAATGAAAATTTTATACTTATGAAAAGACATGAATATTAAATTAAAACAAGGATAGATTAAAATTGTAGAATAGTTTCACTTTTGGAAAAAACGGAAACAAAAAAATTCATATACATATGACACTATAATATTAAATCAGCAGGAATGTGTTTATTAATTTTGTGGCATTTTAAATATTATGAGTATTTAGAAACTAGCTTAAAGTATAATTATCATAAATGAAAATGTAACTACATAAAAGATTACAACACACACGACAAATCAAAGTAGGATTATGTAAGGAATAGTAGAAAGGATTATTACTGTCAGTTCTAAGCATAAAACTTGAGCATATGCTGAACAAAAGAAGCGACTATAATCGAGTCCTATTGATGCAGATATGGAAATGGTATCTTCAGCTAACTGCTTTACAACATCTTGATATCGCACAATTTCTGAAAAATAAAAGAAAATGGTAAAATGTACAGCTATGAAATTATTATTATAAACAAAGCCACTGATATTTCAAAATTAGTACTTATATTTTTTATATTTGTAGGCAATCCTTTCAACAGTGAATTACGTTTTCATTGTTTAGCTATTGTATAACAAAAATAGAATAGAAAAAGGAATAGCATTTTTTACAAAAAAATCTAGAGAATATGAAAAACCATAATGAATTACAATTAATCATATTAAGTTACAAATTATGAAGGAATCTTTTCCTCACTATAGCAAATATCTAAAAAATTATAAAGTATATAGCAAATATCTAAAGCATTATAAACTATCTTCATATTTAAATATTTAAAAAATGATGAATTTACTAACAATATACATAATAAATATCTACATGAAAATAGCTACTCCAAACACAAACTGCTGTAGACGGGAAAAAAACCACAGATAATATATTTTGAACTGAAAGAATGCAAAAAGATGTTTAGCTTAATCTGTTTCACCCTCTTTTTCATTGTGAATGCATCTCAGTATGAAGATTCCATCTTAATTTATGGAAAAAGCTAACAGACTCCCTACTTGTCTTATTATCTAGCTAGGGACTACACCTTTTCATGGGAGCCTCTTAGAACCTATACCGAGATCATTTTCCGTGTCCTTAATGATGTAGGTGAACTGCAAGTTTTGGGGGGAGGGGAGAAGTGACTAGAACAAAGTAAGCAAGGGTTATCTGTTCACTGGTATTACCTATCTATTAATTGATAGGGAAGGATGCTCTCATAAAGGACTTGTTATGAAAAATGCTTGTATCCAAGTTACACTTAGAGAAAAACATGAAGAAATGACATGTTGTAAGGACTATTCACATACAACGACAGCAAATACATAAGTTGGGGCAAAAGTCATGGCAACTATTTTTTTTTTCTTGAAGATACCAGTCCAGTTGGAAAATGTAACATATACAGACAAAAGGACAAGGGCTTATGTGTGGGCAATGAATAGCACTGAAATATCGTAACACACAAATTTATTACGGTAGTATACAGGGCAATATGGCATTCACCATGCAAAAGAATGATAACACAATACACATAAAGTTGACATGACAAACCTGAGCCTAAAGACCCTCAATGTAGTCCCCTGCTACTGTCACCACACGCTACCAACGATCTGGGAGGTGCTGAATACCATCAGCCTCAACATTTGCCGCACGTGTGAATCGGGACATCTGTTGGCACACAGCATTAGCAATGTCCTCTCATGTTGCAAACTGCCTACCACGTATTGGTTCCTTAATCTTGGGAATGAGATCAAAGTCACAGGGCGAAAGGTCAGGGAGAGTACGGTGGGTGCTCCAATTCTTCCCATCCCCAATGTCAGAGTAGCTTCCGTACACACTCTGCTTTATGTGGTCTTGCATCGTCATGTAGAATTATAGCACTGTCCACGAGATCCGGACGTTTATCCCGAACGCCACGTCGTACCTGTCACCAGGAAGTCACTGCAGTACCTCGCGGTCACTATCCTGCCATGAGGAACAAAGTGGCAAACAATGACACCCCTGACATCATATGCGACAATCACCATCAATTTGACTGGAGAAGGATTCTGACAGACCTTCTGGATGGATGTCGCCACTCCAGGATCCAGGATGTCACCACTCCACATCCAGGATGTCGCCACTGCGTGGTCGGACGTTTCAGTTCTGGTTTGTATGCCCTGGCCCCAAATTCATCGATGGCGATTATTCATGACAAAAATTGATTGCCGTCCTGTTGCCAGCATGCAAAGTGGTTGTAGCATATTGCATAATGCATTGCATATTGCATAATGTCAAAGATGGGTATCTTTGACATTCCATCAGTGCATGCGGTACCGACCACAAAGTGATTTTGCATAGCTGTAGCTCATTGCACAATATCCTGTGGACGGTGCGTTTCTCGATACCACTTGCCCTCTTTAACTCCAGTAACGTCCATCGTCTGTCTTCATCCATGAGGTGCTCGATGACAGCATGTGCCAAGTCGGTCCGCACACTCACCGGTCGTCCCGCATGCACTGGTTGACACTCTTTGCTGAAATGCTGAAACTTTCCTACCCACCGTGCTACTGTACGATATGATAGGGCATTATTCTCAAGGGCTTCTACTAATTCACTGTTACATTCCATCGCATTTCTCTCTCAGAGAATGGCTATTTTAACACTTGGCATGCGGGTATACGTCGCCGTAAACATATGCGTGCAGCGGGCGTTTTTCGTGAATTGCGCGGAGATATGGTTATTCAGAAAAATTACAGTAAATCAAAAACTACTTTTTTTTTATAAACGAAACGTTTTTTATTTTACACTTAAATATATACTGTATGATTATTTAACAACAACAAAAAAAAAAAGATGTTTTTACGAAATCGCAAAAATAAACGATTTTTAAAATTTTTACAATGTATTCAAAAATATTTTTTCATAACAAGTACAAATAGAACTGATAACACGTTAATAGTTCTTTCAGTATGGTACCATTTAAAGCATTTTCCTCTATGGAGAGGAACATTGCAGAAGCTACATATGAAACACGTTTCACTTTGCACTTTTTTGACTGCGCACATGCGACGTTGTCTTTGTGGATTTTTCTTCTTCCCAGCACCAACAATTTTCTCCAATACGGTTTGCGCATATCCATGCACAATCTTCCAGGAGGTTCGCGTTTTGATATCATTTGCTCTGGTTCTTCAGTGCTGATTTCAGGTAGTTCATCAGTAACCCAATGTCGTGTGATGTTGTTAAAAAATTTCTTGTATTTTATATAATACATATGCATTGAAAAATGCACAATTCATCATATACATAGCTAAGCACTTTGTCCACTTCACTGTTTTACGCAAAATACTATAGTAGGACAAATACTGATCGGCCTGATTTACTCCTTTCATGTACTTGTTGTAGTCAATCAAAGCATTTGGCTTTATAATTTTTTGTCTCTTGATAAAACCAACATTACTACTTTCTTTCATTTCCGCAGAATGGATTGATGAGATGAGACTGACTTCTTTCTTGGATTCCCAAACTTGTACCAATATATCATTTTTTCTTCGGAAGATTGTCCTTTTTTCAAATTAGTTTTTTTCAGGCACTCTGGTAGACTTCTATTCTTCCTAACTGTTCCGCAAATTCGATTTTTGGGGGGGGGGTAAAAGGGCTTTCGTGTTATCGATGCTTTTGTAGTAATTTTTCATGTACAAATGGTGCCAGACATCAGTATATGGCGAAACTACTGTGAGTATCGTTTTGATCAAACATAATCCTTGAGCTGCATAAACTTCAAAATTGCAAATATAACCAGTGTCACTTTCAGACAATATTCGTATGTGTATGCCATACTTTATAATTTTTCCAGCATTGTAAACTCTAATAAACAATCGTCCTCTCCAAGGTATTATGCCCTCATCTAACGATACTTGTTGTTTCGGTTTGTAAATGTTATTGAATTTTTCAACAAAATAATTTAGTATAGGCCTGACTTTGAATAATCGATCAGAATTGTCCGTGATGTCTTCATTGTTATTGAAATGCCAAGCCTTCCATATTTGGCAAAATCTATCCCTTGACATAGTTTTTGAAAAAAACGGTGTACTTGTGCAGACATCATTTGACCAATAACCATCGTGGGCATCTTTACGAACTTGTCCCATGAAAATAATAAGCCCCAAAAATTTCTTCATCTCCGTAATTGTAATATCTCTCCATTTCATGCTTTTGGGAGATATTTTGAACTGATTCATATTTTGATAATAATACCTGTTTGATTACGCGACTAAATATGCAAAAAAGTCATCACCTATAAATAACTTTACTACATCAGCTGTGGATTCAGGAACATTAGCCATGTTAGTTATCCCAGGATGACCCCAAAACTCTTCAAGGTCTGGAGGATTGTCAATCGATGACCATTCATCCACTTCTTCATCAGAAGTTGTTTCAGAACTACTAGAAATTCTTCTTCAGACGACCACTCGAGAACATGGAATAATGTCATCATCATCACTTTCTTAGATATCTTGACTTTCAGAATCACTATCATACGAAAAGTCCGATAATCTGTCAGCACATATTTCTTCATCACTATCTTTGTCACAATGGTTCATTTTATCAATTTATTTCATCAATAATAAAAAAAACCAAGCTTCAAATTGACAAAACACGACTTGTACATTCTGGAGCTAAGAATTTGATTGAAGACAAAATAACTCAACAAAAGACCAAGTAAATGGACCAATTGTAACTTGTTGAAAGAAAAAATGCCTAGCAAAGTGTTGCCTTGCAACAGAAACAACACCCATATAATTAGATTTGTGGTGGATAGTGGGTATCCACCACAAATCTACTAAATACGTATTTTTACGTGACCCGCGCTCCAGTGACAGACTGCACAAAATGGAAAAATACATTGCCCGCATGCCATATGTATTTTTACGTGACCCGTGCTCCAGTGACAGACTGCAAAAGACATAAAAATACGTTGCCCACATGCCATACGTATTTTTACGTGACCTGCGCTCCAATGACAGACTGCAAAAAACGTAAAAATATGTTGCCCACATTCCATACATATTTTTATGTGACCAGCACTCCAGTGACAGACTGCAAAAAACGTAAAAATAGGTTGCCCGCATGCCAAGTGTTGATGTAAGCACGCTGCTCAACAGAGGTTACTTCCATCTCACACGACACACACCAACTGACTGATTTCAGAGCGCTCGCTAATACAGAGCCACCTGTTGTTCTGCATACACACTATGCCTGCAGAACTTCCACATGACACATATACGTTTTGTGATCCATTGATATATCTGCAAGAAAAAAACAGTTGCCATGACTTTTGTCCCAACCCTCATATAGCTAGGCTTCCAAATAATTGTTAGAGAGGTTCAGACCATGTACATACAATAAAAATCTGATAACCCAAGATCCAATGGTTCAACACACCTAGCAATCTTATTTGAAGTACTGTCTGATAAGGTTATGAGCATGCCATTCGGAAGTGCAGAAGTGTTTAGCATTTATTTCATGGCCAGTCACATTATGGTTGAAAGTTATGTAGCAAAACTGAAGAAAGCAAACATATTGATAGTCTTATGATTAACCAGTCTAAATGGCTGAAATCAAACATAGTTAATCACTATTCTATGTACAGCTTTGTTTAAAACTCTGCATTCTTACACCAAGTTAAATTATGTTTATGAAATCCTTTTTACTGTATTACCTTAACCAAGTTTAATAATTCAGCATGTTTTGTAATTGGGTACTACTGAACTCTTTAACTTTCCAAATTATTGAACTCTGACCATAATTATCTTGTTACTTACTATTCCTAAGTGAGAGTACCTCAGTGAGATACGAAGATGAATATCGTTTAGTGAAGCCTATTATTCAAAGGTCAGTTCAATAGTCAAATTCTCCCCTCTCTGACCAACTGAGTGAGTTTGTTGTGTAGACACTCAAGTAAATTCCAGCAACTGAGTACACATTAGAAATGAATCTTAACTCCTATCATTATCTTCATGTGTAGAGTGTGAAAGGACCAGTCTTTTTATAGGTCTGAAAATGTGAATACCAATGAATGCAAGCTGATCTCTTGAGATCATCAGATCAGAACTTCTGTTCTTGCTTTTATAGGATTTGTTAGAAAGATAAACCAAAATGATTCAGTAACTGAAATTAATTCTTTTTGTAATTTTTATTTTTCATAAATCAACATTGCTTTACACGAAAACTTACCACCATTCCTCTTTATGGCACATTCATCAAGAAGTTCAACAAAAAGAGGCAGATACATCCTCAGATCTGATGATAAATGGCTAGTATCCATTAAAACATAGAACTGAAAATTTTAAACAATAATTAAGATACAAAATACAAGAATGAAATTTTACAGTTGATATGAATTCTATTTGCCTAGATTTTTAAATACTTGTTTAAATACAATTAAACTAAAATTTTAAATCATGATTTACATTTTTATTTGTTGTAAAACAGCATAAGAAATTTGATATTTTTATGCGATCTTATGCATATTAACATTTCATATTCCATGCTAATTTATTAGTATTTATTTTGCCAATGCCCCAATATTTTCCACACCTCTAAAGACAGAAAAACTAACGTCCAAGAAAAGTTGATGCCTTGTTTCAGTGTGGCTTAGATAACTGCTCTTTATACTATTATATAATAGGGGGAACGGAAAGTAATGTCGTTTTTGCGCATGTCGACAACAACATGCTAAGGGCAGAAGTGAAAGCAAACCCATGTCAAACACTCTTAACCAACCTTGGTCGACCATCCAAGAACATTGAAAGTAGAATGGAAAAATAAGCAAAGCAGGTTTTTAAGTCCCCCATAATCTGTTCGAAAAGAACAAAGCCAACCTATCTATCACATGTAACGTATTGCTTCAACAGCACCATACAGAACCGTTTTTTGATTGTTTGATTAGTGGAGACAAAAAAATAAGTCCTATATGATAATCCAAAACTCAAAAGGCAGTTTTAATAGGGATTGCAAAGGGTTTACATCCCGAAAAGGCGCTTCTGGGTGTTTGATGGCGTGTTTGCGGAATTGTTCATTTTGAATTGATGAAACCTGGAAAAACTGTTAATGTAGACCTTTATTATGAACAACTGCATCTAGTAAACCAATCTTTAATCAAAAAATATCTGGCGATTGTCAACGGAAAAAGCGTCATTCCGCAACACGACAATGCAAGAATGCACTGTGCAAGACGAACACTGGAAAAATATAATGAATTGGGGTGGGAGGTACTGCCTCACTCACCATATTCGTCTGATATTGCACCCTCGGATTTCGATTTATTCCGATCCCTACAACATTTTCTTAGTGACAAAAAAAATTTGAAAATTTGGATGATGTCCAAAATGCCATCTCGAGATATTTTACTAAAAAACCAATTGATTTTTATCGGCCTGGGATTGAAATTGGAATACTAGATGGCAAAAGGTTGCTGATAACGAGGGTGATTATATTATTGATTAAAAATAAAAACTTGTTATAAATTTATTCGTTTGAATTTAATGTAAGAAAGCAACATTACTTTCCGGTCCCCCTATTAATTACTCTTTCTATAACATAAGTAATAGTTACTTAAATTATATATTATTTTCCTAGATTATATACTATTCTTACAGCATATATTTTATTTTTGGAGAGGGAGATATTTGATTGCAGTTCAGACATGGCAGTGATGAAAATAAATGTTTAAAATTATATAAACAAAGAACAAACTTTCAGACTGATACATATATTTCTGGTCATATTGAAACATATACTTTTGTCATATTAATACAGATACTTTGGTTTGTCAAATGGAAACAGAGGGAGAGAAATCACTACAAGAATTTATCTTGTATATACAGTTGAATCCGGTTAGTTGAACCACCGGATAATCGAACCAGCTACTTTTTCAGACCAAATCCTAAAGAACCAAAATTAATCCTATGTATATAAGCCTAATATTATTCGCTTATTTGGACCAAAATTCCATTTAATCGGACCAAGAAATGTGAGAACGAATAAGAAACAGAAGCCACAAGTTGACCACGTACAGCGGGTGCGATATATGGAAGGATCTGTAGTTGCTGCTTCCCAGGGAAATGCTTTATCAAAGGTCAGGAATTCCTTGAAGTGCAAAATTCCATGACAAAAGCAAAACCGGTGGGAGGTTAACACGCACACCATTTTCTTTGACCTTTCTTTAACCTGCGCCTCCGAGGTTCGAGGAAATGAACAATAGAGTGTCTGGCTCCACCTGAAAGGAATTCCTGCCTGTCAATCATGATTAAAGTTTACACGAGAAAGCTATCACTTCATCACCTTTTTGGGATAATTCTAGTGACAAAGCTTTGAATGGCAAGCATTTTATCTCCCTCTTGACCTCAACATCTTGAACCCGAAACACCAAGGTTTCTTCAGACCACTTTAGTCAGTGAACTGTGCGCGTGGTAAGTTGGTGCAAGTGACAACACAGGATACGAGAAAATGCACTGAAACTTTGCGTCAGTATTTCATGCAGGAGGGAAATGAAGGCAGTCCCATTGCTGTGTTAGATGTTTGTGGCGATTTAGTTAACGTACAATCCGTAAAGAGATCACTTTGGATAAGTTCTTCAAATGTTGAATGGAACTTAATAAGAAATTTTTATTGTGCTTCGCAAGCTGAGTATCTTTAATCTTTAATATTTTAAGGTTAACTATACTTATCTGTATTAAAAAATACAGGAGTCAAATGAAAACCTTAAAAATATAATAATCATATGATTTCCAGCATCGTTGTTCTCTATGTTGGTAGTACTGTTACCAGAGCTTTAAACAGGGTTGTCACTCAAACAAGCAAATGAAATTCCCTGACTTTTCCAGGTGTGTTAAGAAAATTCCAGTCTATCCGCATAATGTGTGTTGGTTGTGCTGAGAGGTAAATAAATTACAGTATCACTTGAAAACACAAAAATTTGCCGATTAAATATGACTTATCCCCCATAGCATTAGTATGAGAACTAAAATACGATTTGTTGTCTCCACTGAAGACAGAGATTAGAATCTACCCAATCTGGATTGAAAATGTCTTTGTTTGCAGCTATTTTGCAAACAAATGAAAGAAAGAAATCTATTTAATGATATTTTAAAATAAAGTCAGGTATTTTATATTTATTTAGCAGCATATAAGCAAAAAATATGTGCATTAGATTTCATAATGGCAGGTCATCATACAGCTATAATTAGTTTCAAGAATATGCCAGAGAAAATTGGCTGAAATTTGAAAGTATCATGGACTAATAAATAAATTTAGAAGAAAGAAGCCACATTAAATAGTATGAATAGCATTAAAATAAAGTTGATTACTTAAAGATTAAAAACTGAATTACATACAATAATGAACAATATTTTGGCAAATCTAATTATATTAAATGGTTATCGTAGATAACTATTTTTTTATTTTACTGCAAAATGACAATTTCTTGATTCTCGAGGTTACTGGAAACCAAAGTTCCAAAAGACAATCTAATTGGAGTTGCAAAAATTGGCTCTACGCCAGCTGCCCAATTGATGCTCATGCAATAGATAATTCGCCAAGAAAGTGATCGCTTCCAGCATTGGCATAAAAATCGCTTTTAGGGAAGATTGGCATACGAAATTCCCTGACATTTTTAGACAATTTTTGAATTCCCTGACTTTCACTAGTTTTTCAGGTAGCATAGCAAACTTGTTTAAAGAATGCTTAACAAGTGGCAGCCCTACTGCACAGAAGGAAAATACAGCAGAATAGCAGTTTAAATGGCTTTCCTGCTTGTGACCAATGAAGAACAATGTTCTGTCATATATTTTCTGAGCAGATAAAGGTATGAAGCCTATTTAAATCCACTAGCAAATGAAAGTCCAGTATGGTGAGACATGTTTATCACTGCACCAAGTGTATGAGTGAAGTAGGAAGTTCAGAAAGGGTATGACTTCAGCGGCAGATGCTCCCCACCAGGTCAGACACACGGTCTTGTGACACCAGAATATTGCAGCAGCTGAACCATTGTGATGGACAATCACTGTATTATGGCAAATGAAATAGCAAGTCTGAACATTAATAATTGTTCAGCACATCACATTATTCCTGATGTGCTTAAGTTTCGCAAAGTGGCTGCCATGGCATCTCACTCCAGAATTGTGATAGACACATTGACGGCTGTGAAGAAGTTTTGTGCTGCTTTGAAATAGAAGGTGATGGCTTCCTTGTGAAAATCATTAGATGAGACAAAACCTGGATCCACTACCACCCGCCCCACAAAGCACAGAATAGTGCCTTTCCTCTTCACCAAAACCCTAGAAGTTCTAGGCATACCCATCTGCAGAAAAAATTATGTTGACTCTCTTTTGGGATGAACGAGGTATTACCTACATGCCTAGGGAAAACACCATCACCAGTGCATCATATTTTGATATGTTGAAAAATTATCCTTGGTCTCCAATCTGATCAAAGAGATATGGACATATGACTACAGATGTCATTTTACAACATGAAATTGCTCGACCTCATATGGCTCATGTAGCAGTTGCAACCACCACTGACCTTTACTATGTTGCTCTTCCACATTCGCCATACTTACCAGACATTGTCTCAAGTGATTACCACATGTTTGGACCATTAAAAAAGGCAATGGGAGGAAAGAAATTTTTGAAGAGGTTCATCAAGCAGTGAGTGGCTCTGCTCATAAGTGGCTCTCTCAAATTTTTTTCCAGAGGAATCCATGCACTTCCTGTGCACTAGAACAAGAGTGTTGAACGTCAGACAGCCTATGTCGAAAGAGGGTACATTTGTATTCCACTTTTGTTCAATAAATAACATATAAAAATTTTTAAGTTTTCATTTGACTCATTGTTGTACTTATCATTTCATTATCCAAAATACAATCCAATTTAGCTGCACCTCACCAAGAGTATGGCAGAGTGGATGAAATTTTTTACTTTCAAAGATATTTTCAATTAACAAAATTTGATATTTTTAATTGCTTGTTCCTGAAAGAAAAATACCTCATTATATTTGTAGAAGTATGTATTTGCTTCAAAATTGAATATTTTAAGACAGAAGACTCACTGCAGTAATGCCATTACTTAAAACAGAATACAGATTATTTAACTGAAAATATACGACTAAATCAAACATATTTGCAATCAATGCTTTTTGCAACTTTGTTCTATATCTTCAGATTTTATTATTCTATTTTCTTTTTAGTCTAAGCAAAAACAAAATATTCATATTTTGCATTATTTCAAATAAACAATAAAAACAAATATTTTTCAAGTTTTAATGTACACAAAATTTTACCATTTTGAAGCATTAACCTCAAAATAAACATAACATTATATTCATATATTAATAACCCAATTAAATTTGCTATAAAATGAAATAAGCAAAGAAATCACTAAAAATATAGCGAATATTAATAACAATTTTGAAATGCTTCTAATGATAGAATACAAACACTTTGCAAACAGAAGAGAAACAAAGCTAACTCACCCTAACAAAGTTGGTATTGACGACATCTAACTGAAAACGGCAAGGCATTTTACTAATCGAATAGTCAAGATTTTCATCTTCGGATTTTGATGCATTACAAACTCTTTTAATTGGGTGGAATTTTATTGAATTTACTGAAGGAACATCAACTGAAGTGATCATTTCTTTTGGTGGTGGAACCTATAAATACAAATATAATAATACAAATATAATACAAATATAATAATAAATAATCAATAAGTATTGATTAAATACATTATATAATTAATGATTTTATTCAACTGCAAATGAATAAAGATTTTACAAATGAGAAAAGGGGGAGATGGCAAATTCATTTAAAAATAAAAACTTCTTTTTTGGGAGAGCTAGATGGAAAACATCACAAGTTTTTTTCCCCTCTAAAAATGGTTAAACAGTTGCAACTGAATGCTATTTATAGAGATACTATATGAAAATAGATTTATAGATGTTCTCAATTAAAGAATTTTATAGTTAAAAAAATAACAAAAAACTGATGTCCTGGTAAATTCTTTATTCATAATCCTACACTGAAGAAAACTGGATGGATAATACTAGAGTGGCATACTACGATTGAAAGCTTTCAACATATTGCAAAAATGAAAAACACTAAATTTTACTTCATTCAAATCAGGAAAGTTCCCTTTGTCGTACAAGTACAGCTAGAATTTGATGGCATTTAACTAGTTGGATTTTTCAACTGGTAAAATATAGAAGTATGCAGATTATTTGAGTTTTATTAAGTAGTAGTTACCTTTGAAAGTAATGTAACATCTTCAATATGTGGTGATTTAGCCTAATAATATAACCCATGGCACAGCTTGAATAAAAATGATGTGAGTATTAATATTAGGAATGTACGAGCTATGTATAAAAGCCAAGCATAAGCAAATGGTAGTCAGTTACTAGAAAAGTAATTCATATTAGCATGAGATCTTTGATGTAAAAATATGAAAATGAAAATCAGAGAACTGCATTAACATAAAAAATCATGTGAAAATTAAAAAAGATCTATCAAATAATCAGAACTGTTGAAAGTGAAATATAGTGAACAGATAACATTAAAAAAAAAAAAAAAACTACAATGTCTAAATGGCATATAAGATTTAAACATGAGTAATGAAAAATGAATTTCAGATATGTGTCCAAAAACAGGCACACTATTTGATTCAAAGTATACATGTACAAGGAAAGTACTCTGCATTAGCCAGTATCTGATAGAGTGCAGCATCGTGCATATACTTTTTTTTTAAGATGCATTCAAGGAATTAAACTGCTATACCTTTAATATTATAATTTATTTATGAAATTTGCACATATCACTCAATTTCGGGAGGCAACATATTTGTAACTGCTTGAAACAAACTGCAGTTCCAATTTTTCGTTCTTTTATCTTTCCTGATTAAAAAGTTTGTTAATTTAATTTAAAGAGTAATTTAAATTATTTTAATAATTATTATCTTAGTTTATCACTACATCTGACTATTGCCACATCAGACTTTATTGCCATTTAATTTTGCATGCAAATTTTTCTTTTGACTAAAAGAAGAAAAAAAAAATCCTTTGCTATGAAAAATAAGTTATAAAAAAACCCTTTATAAAATACGACTAGAAACTATTAATAACCTAAATATCTTTTCAAAAATCTGTAATTTGTAAGAAAGCAGTTGACAAGAATGAGATGTATCAACAGGACTGTACAAAAAAATGTAACAAGTAGAATGGAGATTGAAAAATTAAGCACATCTGAATGTAATAAGATACTTGCTTTTCTGATGAAGATCTAATGAGGAATTTTATAAAAATTTTGATCAACAATCAAGGACATATCATTTGTAAAATATTACCCATAACATTTAAGCAACAGATTTGTTAATTATATATTTATGAATAAAATCATAGCACATGGATAATAACAGCTCAGATTTTACAATTTTATTTAATTTCTAAAACATTTTATAAACTAAATTTCGTTTTTAGTTAAATAAGGTTGGTCAATGCATTTTAGTTGCTGAAATATAGAAACCTAATGTTAAAAATCAGAAGTTACCTCATTAACTTCAATGGCTTTCTTCAAAGTATTTGCCATATCTTTCAGCCCTTCTGGCCCTAGCTGTTTCTGCTGTTCTTCAATTCTCTGTTTTTCTTCTTTTGACATTTTCTCAGATAGTTTAGGGCTAGGACTACCTAAAACCTAATAAGATTACAAAGAGGATTGAATGAAACAATATAATGAAAACTAAGAATTCAAATAAAAGCATGAAAATAAACAGAACTACTAGAAAATTGCCAATTATTAAACTAAAACTTTATTCAATATTTGATCGATATTGAAGAAGCAGTTCTTTGATCAATATTGGAAAAGCAATTCTTTAAATAAGAAGAAACTTAACAAATTTGTCCATAAAAGTTTAAAAAGATGAGAAAGACAAATTTTTTTAAAAGATATACAGTATGAGCTTAAGATTTTCAGATTTATACAGTAATCAAAGAAAGTTTGTTTCATTTCCAAGTTCTTCTCGTTGGCAAATACATATGAACACTATACAATTAAGGTGTTGCTATGTATACTTAAAAACAACTTATTAAATCAAAATCTTTAAAACTTCATACTCAGATATTTATATGATATACACAGACATAACCACCTTGACCTGTGGCATCTTGACAGTGGATTTTACAATATGAAAATGTCAAGACCATATGCTTTCAGTCTCATAGAATTTCTCACAGAGAACATACCATCATTGCACTTTCATATATCCTACATTCACCTTATTTTCCAACATGCAATCACTTCTCCCCTTCCCCTGAAAAACACTAAAATGACAGTGAACTGAGAATATTGAAGTTATTCCAAGTGGTTGTGACTATCATTCTTCAGCTGATTTCTAGGAACTTAATGTATGGATAAAGGGAGCTATTTTGAATGTAACAGCAACCACCAGTTGGGAAGTTGAATTTTGCATTATTTCTAGACTCATCCTCAGAATTTCAGAGTCAAAAGTGCATAGACATAAACACACATCAAAAAGAAAAACATGCAGATGTTACTTTAATCTAAAAGTACTTTTCAAAATTAATAACACTTTTAAAGAAATCTTAACTTACTATAACAAATTTTCCCTCAACAATATAAGTTTTTAAAAGATCAACCCAAAATTGAGCATCTTTCTCCAACAACTTTTCCAGGGCTGGGATTTCTTGAACTCTTACTGCTAACTATAAAAAAAAGAATAATAATAATTATAGTAATAATAAACTTTTATATTTACTACATTACATTTTTACATTATGCCCAAAGGAGTGCTTTTTTTAACATTCTTTGTGTTAACTTTATTTATTAAATATCAATAGTGTTCTTTGCACTTAAATCATAAAATTCAGTTCAACAACAATACCAAAATAAAGAAATTAATATTTTAATATAATTTTTTTATAAAATAATTTTTAAATGAGCATATCTTTACAATTTCCGGTACAGTGAACAGTGGCAACACTGTATAATTTTTTTTTATACAGTGTTGCCACTGTTCGCTTTGAAAATCGTTGAGTTTGCTAATCAAAAATTTTTTAAGTTTTACAATATATGAAATAGATAATAAAATAAATTCCAAATTCAGGCTTCCAGATGGCCATATTCGGGTGAAGACATATGTTATTCAAAATTTAATGACTCTAGTTACAGTTGTTTTATCACAATGTGAGAAACATACATATATTTATGCAAATTCTTCATTATTTACTTTCTTTAAATATAATGCAGGGCTCTAAAACTTGGTGGCAACAATTTTAAAAGTGAATCAACGCTTATAGTGAATCAATGCAAAATGCCAAAATGAAATTAATAGTTTCTCGGCCAATTGCCCCTTTGGACTAAAAATTAAAAATAATAATAACAGTAATACAGTATAATTAATATTTTAACTGAATATCACTTATTCATCAAGACATGTGATAACCTCACAGTAAATAACAGAAAACAGAAGCTGGGAGATGCCATCCATATTCAATCACAGTTAATCTGACAGCAGTTAAAAAAAAAATAAAAAAAAAAAAAAAAAGAGAGAGAGAGAGGAGAAGAAGAAGAAGAAGACTCATGCTATAATTAATAGCTCAAAGTAATCCTATCAGAAAAATAATGTTATTAATTATTGATATGTATTTACAATCAGCATAAGCTTGAAAGTAAGTCCATTTGGTTATGCAAATTAAATCAGCATTCAAAACAAGAACACACTTTAAAATAAAAACAGCATTTTTTCCCCTCATATTATTCTTGTATTTTAATAGGAATCATCAAGATGCAACAGATTACTTACTGACTGTACACTTAATTTGATTTTACAATTTAGCAATTCATTTTAATTGATGATTTAGCAAAGTTTATGTATTCCAGATTATGTACAATCCAATTACAAACTGTTGAGGATAAAAAATAATTCTTAAATACTGTAACATCATAAACCATGATTGCTGATATACCACATATTTTCTTCTCTTTTTTGTATTTTATGTAGAAATTTTGCTATGGTTTGTGATAATAATTTTTCCATTGTCCTGCATTAAACAAACTTACCTTCCCACCATCCTTTTTTTTAAAAGACAATGCCCAATTCATTTGAAATTGAGGTAATTTAGATTTCATTACATATACAATAAAAAGAATAGAATAGTGAATGAAAGATCTCTCGGTTTTTTATTAATTTAAAAAACATTTAACTTACAGGTCTTGATAATGGAAAATCTTAGTTTCTGAACAAGTTACTGATAAATTACAGCACCCGACTATTCATTTTTTAGCAAGTGTTCATTTTATGCTTTTAAACAATAATTATTTGATTACTATGGTACTAATTCAGCATTAATTTATCATTATTAGTAGTAAAAATGTTCACTGTATTTCAAGAGACCACTCATCTTTTTCATGGCATGCATAAAATGTTTAAACTGTTATTTTATACAATAAAAAACTAATTTTTTAGATAATTCATTTCTAAAATTGATATGTTATTTTTCCACATTATCATCAGTATTTCCAACTACATCACACACAATATTATCACCATTAAACTTAAAATGAAAATTAGAAATTAGAATTGGTAATATGTACATAAAATTTTCAAAAAGCATTTCAAAGATGTGAGTGTACAGTTTACTTATCATTTTTCTGCTATAGTCCTCCTCCCCCCCCAAAAAAAATCATACAATCACATGCCAAGGTACAAATACAGAAAGAGAACAATTAAGAAAAAGCTACAAATTTGATAAGAATACAAAATGTTAAACACCATCTCTTGATGAAAAAGTTAACAAAAAATAAAATAAATAAACAATTGCATTTTTTTAAAGGTTAGGGGTGAATAAGGATTAGAATTTTAATAATAAAGTTAGAGAAAAAGGGACAAGATTTTTTTGCGAGAAGTTCCAGGTAACCTAACTCTGCAATATACATTTTTTTAAATAATTTTCGGAGCAAAGAACTGGGCAATATGATTTTTTACCAACGCAGTTAAGCACTGGATGATTTATAAATTTATTTTATTTTTCCTTTCAATGTTTCAGAATCTTCACTTTCTTCAATGTGGAATTTCATAGTTTTCTTTGTTTAACCAATTTATATTTAAATCACACTAGTGAAGAATATTATTAACACCCCAGAAATTTATACATTCAATCATGATTGTGAAACTTAACTATTCTCCAGAGATTAAAAAATAAATATGTTGTATTACAATGGACTCCAACATACAGCAATATTTTTATAAATATATTAGGTTTTTTTTTTTTTTTTTTTTTTTAACAAAGAGCGCACAATGCTCCTAGATCCTCTTATCATTCATCACTAGATCTCTTATCATTCAATCACATTACATATCAAACAGATTTAAAATCAGAACACTAATGTATAGTTGCAGGATAGAATTAAGACAAAGTAACAGAAAAGTGAGAATTTTGTGGATATTCTGGATACATTACGACACAAAACCATGGTCAGTTTTGGCTATTGATAGGTCATGATTGCCTAGAACAACATCTCCATTATATTGGAATTTATGGCCATGCACATTGTCCTCTTTGTAATAAACACCACATACCATCATTTTTAAAACACGTCATGATAACTCTGATAAAGCCTTGTACTGGCAAATTATAGAACTTTTCAGACAATAATGTCACCAATGTAATTTTGAGGTAATAACTTGTAGTGTTGTAATTATAAATATCTGTTAATGATATTTCCATTTTACAATTTGCTTTGGCCCTAGAAATAGAATAAGGACCAATTTTTAATTTTTAGCATCTTTACTTTATGCTTTTGACAGTCTATAAACCTAAGATAAATGTGCAGCAGTTTCCATGTTCTTAAATGATTTGCTCTTGACTTTAGGAATAATCCAAATACTGCTTATATATCTTTTCACTCTTAAACTCAGCATTCTTTACAATAACTTAGCAATCTTTCATTAAAAAAGATATAAATACTATAAAGAATAGAATATAAAAACATAATGTTAGCTGTATTAGTATTAAATACTAATTAAATTAATATGCATTAGCACATAAAACAGAATATAAATCATTTATCTTAAAATAAATAAAGTTTATTTATCTTAAATCTTTCATACATATTTTTTATCTTTTTAATAATCAATTTTATTTAGAACAGTACACAATTTAAAAAATATTCTAAAACAGTTTAATCCTGATCATGCAATTCTCTGTTTACAGTTTTAAAACATGATATAATTTGAATCAGTAACACTTCTAAAAAAAAAGGATAATTTTTATTATAAAGACAAACAATGACTCACATCTTCAGCACTTGTGCTGTACAGAAAATCTGCAATTAGGTAGCTTGCTAAATGGTCATGAGGATTATTTTCCATCTAAATATTCAGAAAAATAAACTGCATCAAAAAAGGATAATAATTACATAGCAATAGGAAAAAAAAAAGCAAAGAAATAATAAAGAAAAATATCCTTTATATAATTAAAACACTTGTTCTTAACCCCATAAATATTATATTATGCAACAATCATCATTGCACAACTGTTTTATTTTAATTATTATGATGACCCTTAAAAGTTACAAAGAGAAATCTAGGATGGTGCATATTATAGCTACTAGTCTGAGCTGGCAACCCTGCCAGAATGCATAAGAATATGCGTGGCACAACTACATCCAAGGACAGCTATGTTAGGAAATCAGTGCATCACAGACCGTTAATAAGCACAGTTGTAGATGTCCAAAGTCTGCATCAGAACAGACTCTCTCACAGAAGATCATTGAGTACACAACGGAATAATGAAGATAATCAGAATTGTTTGCAAGACAGCTGGAAGACACAATTTGGTTCCAAAAGGAGGGCACAACAACAGGTATAAGTATGGTTGTACTTCAACACTATTCCACATAATATGATGAGACATGTCATGGATGCTTTTCTGCATCCCCTCGAAGAGTAAATCCAAGCAAAAGAAGGACATTTAGAGAACATCATATGGTACTCAGGTTATCACAAACACCTTAGTAGAGGTTGCCAAATTTTCAAAATATGTTAAACTCTGGCAACCAAGCTAAAAAAAAAAAAAATCCTTCAGTCAAGCAATTCTTCCTTTTTGTATGCATTCTTTTTGTTGGAATCCAAGCTCCAATGGTTTTTATTGGCAAATCATATTTTTTGGCTTCAACTCAATTTTAAAATATTATTTGTTAAATTTAACAGTAATTAAAGAAAAAAAATCTGAAAAGGTTTCAGATTTTATATTAAGCCCAAAAAGACATTTTGTTCATTTACAGACATATACACCTTTCAAGAGCGTTTGGGCTAATGCCACATTGCGTTAAAAATATTTAAAAACAGTATATCTTTAGAATTTTCAATAGGCAGTCTCATGCGCTGCAGATAAAAATGTTTTATTGCTTACAATGTTGCCATTGCTCGCTTTGAAATCGTTGTTTCTTAATCAAAAGCTTGGGGGGGGGGGGGGGGGTGGGGGGGGGGGGGGGGGGGGGGGGGGGGGGGGGTCTTTTGTTTTCTTGTGGCTTATATATGCTTTACAAAATATGAAATAGACAATAAAACAAATTACAAATTCAGGCTTCCATGTGCCCATGTCCAGGTGGAAGACTACATTTTTCAAAATTTGATGATTCTAGGTACCGTTGTTTTTTCACAATGCGAGAAACATACATGTATTTACGTAGATTCTTCATTATTTAGTTTCTTTGAATATAATACGAGGGGATAATATTTGGTGACAAAATCTGAAAAGTGATTCGATGCCAACTGTTGTTTCGAGACTATTAGCACTTCAGGGCTAATGCCTATTTGGTTTAAAAATTTACATTAAAATTTCTGCAGGAATATGGTATTTTGCTGCGAAACTGCTCAAGGAAACAATGATGAGATGCATTTGACAAATAACTGGTGTGCAATGCCGAGTTTGTGCAATTCTCTGATTTTTTCTTTTAAGTGGAAACAAACTGCTATATGCATAGGAAAAAGAACAGTGGAAAAAATTAAAGATTTCATGGAAAATGCATTTTATTCTTTCAATGTACTGGGCAATCCTTATTTAATAATTAAAATTTTTATTTAAAATTTTTAAAGAATGTTTTCTTTCGACATGTTGGTAATGTTTGCTGACTTAGAATACATATCAATTGCTCAGGTACTTTTAAAAAAAAAAAGTGAAATTCACTAATTTGCAGCCGGCAAGTAATTTATATCTTTTCATGAGTAAAAAATTGAAAGAATGTGCCAAAGCAATTACATTAATATGCAAGTACCCAAATGTTTTCCAAATTCATTGAGGGATTTATTGTCTGCATTATATACAGCAGTAAATGCCTATATGTATACTATTATTTACAAAAAGTTACAAACACTCACCGTCTTTCCGTTGGTATTTAAAATTAGTAGATACAATTTATACCACCTTGTATATACACACCATCTTGCAATTTTACGTGTGGCAAGTCTAAATCTTTTTTTTCACCTAGTTGCTGATTTTTGGAGAGAATAATATAAATGTACAGATAGGATTCCCACATTCTACTTTAGTCTTACCAAAAACTCTTGAATTGATGCTGAAATACAATTTGCAGCTTAGAAACTCTCCATGAAAAGTAGAACAAACCTTTGACAAATCATCTATTATTAATTTTTTTGACAAATAAATAAATATTATGCAACCTTGTTATTATGTAAAAGCTTTTCTGAACTACAACAATAACTTGAATTTCACATATTTGTATCTGATGCTATGAAATCAAAAGCTGATTCACAGACTTTGAAAAATAAAGCTTTCTTTTTGAATATACAAACTGTTATCAATGAAATAAAGGCATGAATTTGATAAGCCATTCTGTCATTGACCCAAAGTTCTCTTTTCTTGATTCAGAAACCATGCATACTATTGAAAAATTGCGGATATATCATATATATATATATGTAAGAAAAATAAAGAATATATAAAAGATTAAATTAGCAATGTAAATTTCCCTTCTCCATTCTAAAAATAGTAACCTCTCTCTGCACTGCATCATTCCGAGACTATGTCATATGATTCTTACATAATTATGATGATGTAAATGGAACTAAACCAGCCAACATTAATTTTAGAGCAATAACTGTCCAATCAGAATATATTGAGAACCAAAACTAACTAAGTCTGAATAAGATTTTACCCTGAAAATAACACACTTGCTTTCTACGCTTTGGCCTAGCTAGACTGCTGTCTGTCTGCTGCTGCTTTCTTGCTACAAAGTTATAAAAAAATGTAAGCCTTTTGGAACAGGCACATTTAATGTGCCGACTTGTGTGTAGCCGCAACATGTTGCTGAAAATAAAACTGGAGATTTAATCTGCCTTCACCTCCAATTTCCTGGTCATTTCTTCTGAGTTTGAATACAGAGCATATGTTATATAATAATCTGTGAGAAAGTATGAAATATTTTTATGTATTCCAAGCAGAACTCCTAAAATAAGAAAAAAAGTTAAATTTGTTAGTGAAAATGATTGTTTCAACAGAGTTTCCAACTTGATCATATACTAATACATATACTAATGCACTGGTTTCCCAACTTTTTAGCACTATTTCTCACACACACATGACTGCAAATCATCATGACCCACATACTTTAAAACAAGGAAAAGGAAAGAAAAAGAAAAAACAACGTTTTAAATAAATAACAAATAAATATATACACAATATTAATAACAATTATAAATTTAATAAATGAATACATAAATGTATATAAATGTATAGTGAACCACAAAAAACTTCAATGTTTTTAATAACCAACCAAAAACTGTGTTAGAAGACCACATTCTGGAAACCATTGTGCAATGTATATAAATATGGTATTCAGCTGATTAATCTAGCATCATGGTCATGATTACATTGATAAAATTTTACACAATAATTATAAAAATAGGTTCAAATATTTCAGTCAGTTTCACAAATAAATTGTTAAGAATTTTGTATAATGTAACAAGAACAACCTCAAAAAATTGCTTGCTAGAAAAATAAGATTACAGGGAGAAATCCATTTAGCACTGAGGTTAATGGCTATCTTGCCAAATTGGCAAGATATCATCAAGTTGCGATGTTTTTGGTGACTACATTTTGTTGATAAAGTTGGTGAGAAATCATCAAAAGTATCAAGAAATGGAAGGCACAGGAAATTCCTTGGCAGCTGGGGAAAACTATATAAAAACAGAGAGTTCTCAGGTTTTAGTTCACAGTTGACTTCAGAGTATTGAGAGATCTTCATTCAAGCTTTGCTCTTTCACTTTGCAATGCACTGAGTTTAGTGTTCTTAGCAGTTTGAAAGTATAACTATTGGCTGTGCTCTGGCATACTGAGAAGAGCTGTATTGATACTTTTGAGGTAAGCTCCAGAACTGTAAAATGTTTCTCTTGTGAAAATAAGTTTTATCAAGCTATCATTGGTTCTATGTGCATTCAATCATTGTAAATCTATGTGCATTATGAACTCATATGCACACAACAATATGTTATTACAAGCAATAAACATATCACAGATTTCAGACAGTAAGCTCTTTTATAAAAGAATTACATTTTCAACTTACTTGCGTTAAAATGTATAATTTTCTCTTTTTAATTAGTGTTCTCATACGATCCATATCAAATTCTTCTTTCCCATCAGCAAAGTTTTGGAACAAACCAAACAACCTTAAATTAAAATGGACATTTATTAAATGGACAGTCTGGATGTTTTAGAATTTAAACATCAAAAACGTAATGTTCTATTATGCAGCAATATTCACTTAAAATTATTTCTGAGCATATCAAGATGACCATAAATTAATTGAAATATTAAGAAATACTTAACCTTATGCCTAAAATAATACTTACTTTTGCTTATAAATAATGCAGTGTAAAGATTGATAAACGGGACTAACATGATAATTGCTGGGTACTTAGATCATGATGCAATATCTAGTATGCAAGTATCAATAGCTACCTAGCATTCAAGTATCAATCAATGCTGTCTGTTACAAAGATGGCCTGCAGTCCATCTATTGGCATGTGCTTTTATAAATAGTTGCTACATATATATACAGTGGATGGACAAAAATATGGAAACACCTTGTGAAATGCATGTCTGAAAAGAAAGATTTATTTTAATGAAATATGTAGGTGGCGCTGGCATTTTTGACTACTGACGCCACCTATACAACTTCGTAAATGTGCTAAACAGTTCAGTTGTTGTCGGAGTACTGTTATGTGAGGTTGTCATTGCATTACGTCAGAGTTAACAGACTTCGAACGTGGGCAAATTGTTGGAGCACGTATGGTAGGTGCTTCCGTAAGCAAGGTAGCCGAGGTGTTTAGTGTTTCAAGAGGTACTGTATCGAAGATTTATTCCGCATATTTGAAAAGTGGAAAAACATCATCTGCTAAATCACAGCGCAGACGAAAGTGTGTCCTGAGTGATCGTGACAGACGATCATTAAGGGCAATTGTGACGAAAATAAGAAGACCACAGCTGCAAAAGTTACTGCTGAAATGAATGTTGTGTTACCGAACCCTGTGAAACCAAAACAATTAGAAGGGAGCTTCATAAACAGGGAATTGCTGGCCGTGCTGCAATTGAGAAGCCACTCATCAGTGATGCTAATGCCCGTAACAGGAAAAGGTGGTGTTTAAGTCATAAAGCCTGGACTATAGAGCAGTGGAAGCGAGTAATATGGTCTGACGAGTCTTCTTTCACATTGTTTCCCACTTCTGGCCGAGTTTACGTCTGGAGAACGCCATCTCAAGCCTATAATACAGACTGCTTGTTGCCAAGAGTGAAACATGGCGGGGGTTCTGTTATGGTTTGGGCAGCCATATCGTGGTTCTCTGCTAGCCCCATGATAACTGTGTCAGGGCACATGACTGCCAAGACTTATGTGAACATTTTGGCCGATCAAGTTCATCCCATGGTACAAACTTTGTTCCCCGATGGTGATGGTGTCTTCCAAGACGACAAAGCCCCTGTTCACACAGCTCACATTGTCCAGGACTGGTTTTCTGAGCACGAGGATGAGTTGTCCCATCTCCCCTGGCCACCACAGTCACCAGACCTGAATATTATTGAACCTTTGTGGTCTACATGGGAACGGAAAGTGCGTTCTCGTCATCCACTGCCAACATCGTTATCTGAACTTGCCACCATTTTGCAGGAAGAATGGTATAATATTCACTTGGCAAACATACAGGAACTGTATTTATCCATTCCAAGAAGACTGCAAGCTGTTTTGGATGCCAACGGGTTTCCTACACCATATTAAGCAAAGAAACATGTTTTTTTAAAGGTGTTTCCATATTTTTGTCCAACCCCTGTATCTTCATTTATTATAGATGAACAGCAGGCATGTGTTAAAGCAATATATTAGCTGTTCCTCAGAATAAAACTTCATATTTTTAGTCAGTCGATGCCATAATCAAGCAAAATGGCATAACAGCACATATTAATTTCCAGTTTTGTTCCGCATCACATTTTTGTAATCTTAAGTTTTTTATGTCTTATAGCTGCCATAAAAATTTTACTTTGTTAAATACTGTTTGTTTTGATGTTCCACAAAAAATTACGAATTTTTCAGAATCAAGAAACTTGAAACATCAATTGTAGTGTAAGGTATTTCTCTCCCCTTCCTAGCGTGCCTTCGTGGTGTAGTGGTCAGCACACTGAGCCAGTATTTCAGAGGTCCGTGGTTTAATTCCCGGAGAAGGCGGTTGCTAATTTTTCAATCTCTCTTGCTTCCCCAAATCCTAATATCTCCACAGTAGAATTGCTGGGTTTTGAAGAAAATATCTTTTAGTTGTCAGATTTGCATGCTAACTATTAACACCACAAAAGCACACAAAGAGAATGTGATAATTCCTTACAGTCCCTTTTAAAGGGTTACCAGGGAGAAGTAGACAGTCAAATCATTGGATTACCAAACAATCAAATGAAATGCATTTATTTCAAATAAGAAACTTTCCCATTATAAAAAGACTTACTTTTCTTTTAGTTCTTTTAACCGGTTAACTGGAACATTAGAAAAATGCAGATAAATGCATGATACTGCATTCTGTACGACTGTAAAATCAACCTGAAAAGGTACATTAGTCACTAAGATATTTAATACAAAATGATTTAATCTGAAAACAGTCTCAAAATTCTATGTAACAGTAAAAGAGGAAAATAACTCCATTTCTTTAACTTTTAAAATGGACTGTTATTTTACCCAGAAAAAAGTTACATTTTTACATTCAACCATATCTGCATGATTCTAAAACTTTAGCAAAACATAATAAATTTGATAAGCATACATAAGGCTTTTCACAGATGCTAACTCCTGATCAATACTTATCATATTTCTCTCAATAAAGTTTATATAAATAAGAAATATATACATTCTTTGATGGTAACAGAAAAGTAAGGTACAAGTTTCTTAAATGAATATATTGGTGGTTTATTACTGAATGAATATATTAGTGGTTTATTACTATTACCAGTTCCATCTATTAGCGGTTTGATATCATCCCGGCCATTGCTCTAGTACTCTTTTGTTTAGTGGTTGCTGCCTTTCTAGAATTCTCCATTTTTCTTTTTCGTAGACATTTGTCCAATAAAACAAAAATTACAAGAATCCTGATTAACATAGGGTTATTAATAATTACCTTATCCTAATACTGTTATCCTATCTTAGTGTTAGTAAACACTATATATGATATATATATATAAGTTCATAAGATGCAGCCTACATAGTCTTTCCCAGGCTTGTGGTTTGTTACATTACTCTTCATTCATTCACTTGATGAGTAGGACATGACTGATGTGTGCCACAGTGCCTTGATCCCTTTTAAGCAGCAGATGTCATTAAAAAGTGTACTGAGTAGAATGTTACTGGCATTTGGAATGTGCTTGAACCTAAGGACTGCTCAGTGTGGGCAGTCAAGAATGTAATGTAGGGCATCTGCCTCACTTCCCTTTGCCCTGCAGGCACAGGTAACATTTCTTCTGAGGAACCTAACTTAGTAGGCCAGAAATTAGCCATGACTGGAGTAAGCTTGTAACAAGAAGTGATCGGACTTGATCCTTTTGGCCATGTTCGTCAACCAGATTGAGGCTTCATACAAAATCATTTGCTCTATTGCTCACAGACAGAATTCTTTTAAGAGGCTTCCCTTTAGATTCCAGTTATGACTCACTATCCTGTTCAGTCTGTTTATGACTATTTGTCTTCCCTATTTGTCTTTTCTCTGAGAAAAACCTGTGAGCATTTTGTCCAGTATAAGCCCTAGATATTTTAAATTACCCAGCATCAGAGAGAAAATTCCTGCCATGTGATTCTTAGTGGGTTGGGCACTATTTTTGGGGTTTGGGAGGATGACGATGAGTTGTGTTTTGGCAAGGCTAAACTTAAGTTTACTCCATTGCATTAGTTAGTTTAATGCTCTTCTTTTCTATAGAGCTCTTGTTTCCTCTGTTTATTATGAGAATAAAATCATCAGCATATGCTTGCATTGTTGCAGTTTTGTCAAAATCCAAGGTGAAGGCAGCATTGATGATTATGTTCTGCATAAATGCTCCTCTATTTGAACTCTGAGGCACTCCTGCATAGTAATTCTTGGTAACATTAACTTCATCTCATTTGAAGGGGATCTTCCTGTTTTGAAGATAGCTATTAATAATTCTAAACAGATTTCATATGCAGTTTGGATCCTTCAAACATGCTTTGAATGCCTGCCATCATAACTGCTTGAAAGCTACCACATCTAATGAGATGATACAAGTATGCAAGTTATTGTGCCTAGGATGATGTCCTAAAGGTTATTTAAGGCATTTACTGTTCCTTTTCCTTTGGTAGAACCAAATTAGGCCGGGTTAAAAAATTGATTGTCTTCGAGAAAGTAAGTAAGACTTAGGAGCACTCTTGGAGTGCTGTATATTTATCTGTAATATTTTGACTGTATCCATATTTTTTTCCCCTGTAATAATTTTAGTTTTCTTTGATAGAACAGGCCCATTCTGCTTTATGTATCATGGTCTGCATTATAATCAATAGCTTTATTTTTAACTGACTTTTTTACAGCTTAGGCATTTTTTGTTGTCTTCTCTACATGTTTTGCCCCTAGTCTTCTGACCCACAGACTGCATAATTTTTACTCTCTTTGTAGTTTTTAGCCCACAGGATGAATACTAGGCAATATTTTAGTACATTTGTTAACGCTATGCCTTCTCCACTGTACATTGAGTTTTCCATATTTTGCCCTTAATTTATAAGTTTTTGCATCTACTGTAATAGCCCATAATAGAGCTCTAATTCGGAATAGAATTTCAATTTTTGAGTTTGCATATTCCTCATTTTACGAGGCTATAAGTTTTTTTAAGTTTGTATTTTTCTCTTTATTGACATTATATATTAGCATTTTTGGATTGACCTTTGTGGATGTTTGGTGTCTAGTAATTATTTTAGTTTTTGATTTTCTTTTACTGCTTCTTCTCAGATAGAGTTCATCCTTTCTAAAGACTTCAATTAGGACACATCCTTTGCTGATCTTTTTAATGTTTCTAACCCCTATGTAAAATTTAGAAGGTTTAATGTGCTTTATTAATTTGTTTTTAAAGTCTTCTAAGGTATTGTCCTTTTTGGGGTATGCTAACAGAAATGTTCTTGCCTGTTTTTTCTTTTGGAGACTGGGAATGTTGCATTTGAGAACTATGATTTGATTTGAAATGCAAACATGTTACTTCTGCCATATGAAAGTTTTTCTTTAACAAATTTCCTTCTTTTAACAATTATCCATCAATGTTTTGAGTCTGTTTGACAAAATCGAACAGACTCGAACAAACTTGCAAAGTCTTTCTAGCTTTGTAATTTTAAGACTCTGTTTGGTAATAATGTTTAACAGGGGGAAAAAATGACTTTTAATACTACTACTAAATTTCTTTGGGATGCTTTCATTAGCCAATTATTCTTCTACTGTGTTTAGGCATTTATGTGTATCCTGAATTGGGCAGCTTATGCCATATTTTCTTTATCTAGCTTTCATCAGCCTAGCTGTTTGCGTGGTTTCTCAACTGTTTTTTTTTTTTTTTTAATGTTAGCTGACGGCTTTTCCCTGTTAGGGCTTAACTACCTGTCTTACAGCATCATTCGATACTAATTATCTTAGGAGATGACTTAGGTGCTTTGGTATAATTTTAATTGCTGTTTATTGAAAGAGTATTAATATAATATCATTAATTTTTCTGTTTTGATCATTGCACTTGCTATCTTTAACTTTAGTGTAAATTAATTATTAATATAGTTTAATTAATTATTGATGCAGTTTAATGTTATTACTTTTTGTAACTGAAGTTTGTTTAAAAGCATTAGAAAGATTAATAACCCTTAAATGAATACATAACATAAATACACTGTCTGCAAGGTAACTAGTAATGAATAATTTGCTTAGTTAATATTAAAACTGACTATACTTACTTGATTGCAAAGTGGATCTTCTATCTCTACAAAATCCCGATTAAGTGGAGAAACTGAAGTATCAGTGAAATAATCCATCAACAGATCCACACATCGCAGTTCAAAAGAATCCTAATAATATTCATTTTATTGCTTATGCTTAATATATATATACACACACACACACCTTAATTCTCTAAAATGAAGATATAATTCTTTTTTAACTTAAATAATACAATACATCTTTAACTATTATACCTTATGACCTTATTTTTTATACAATAGAATTATATTATCCTAAATCATATACTAATATGAATACTTATATTTTTATCTTATACAAAAATATTTTCACTGAATATACATTCAATTAGATTATTAAAAGCCTACTTATTTATGCTTGTTTGCAAATAGTATGGTATTTAACCTTTTACATGCCAAATTAGGCTGGGTTAAAATATTAGTTCCATAACTGGAATGTTATGTCAACATAAAAATGTTCCATAACTGGAACATCGATTTTAAAATTTTATTAAAAATACAATTTTATTCAAATTGGTTTGTAAAAATGGAGAGAAAATATGGATTGATTTTTTTAGCAGCAATATAATGTTACTAAAATAAATAGCATCTTGATTTTAAAAAAATCATTATTTCACCTTTTTTTTTACTTCTCTCCAAGCAAAATTTTAAAATTCATGTAAAATTTTAAATTTAAAAAATGTCTTTATAAATCAATAAGAGTAATTAAAAGGGATCATTTTATGGAGAGACAGTAAGTTACCATAAAAAGATGATAATTATTTTTTACTATGAGCTAAGAAATGTGGATGTTCCAGAAAGGGAACATTGGCATGTAAAGGTATATTTTTTAAGTACCGTTTCATTCTAGCGCCGTCGCAGCGCTGTGGTAGGCGTCCCACGCATGCGCACTAGTCTTTCTTGTTCACTGACTTTCAATTGTCGCCATTTTGGTTGCTCTATGTTGTGTTTTCAGTTTGCTGTGCGCATTCAAAATGTTTAAGACAATTAGTTCTCCCGCTGACTGTGAGATTCGTGCCGTGATTAAATTTTTGAACGTGAGGAATGTTAAACCGGCCGAAATTTATCGTCAAGTGACAGAAGTTTATGGTGAATACGCAATAAGTGATGGAATGGTGAGAAAGTGGGTAAGAATGTTTAATGCAGGTCGAACAAATGTACACGCCGAGGCTCGGAGTGGTCGGCCTTCTGTTGTCACCGATGATTTGGTAAGGAAAGTTGATGAAGCAATTCATGAGAACAGACGCTTCACAATGACAACTCTTTCAGAGGCATTTTGACAAATTTCACGTACTGTTTTGTTCAAAATTGTATCTGACCGCTTGAATTATCGCAAACTGTGTTCCCGATGGGTTCCAAAAATGCTCACTGATGTTCACAAAACAAAGAGACTTGGTAGTGCCCTGACATTTCTCACGCGGTACAGTGATGAGGGAGAAAACTTTTTAAACCAAATTGTGACAGGTGATGAAACTTGAGTGTGTCATTTCACACCAGAATCGAAACAACAATCAATGGAGTGGAGATACACTCATTCTCTGAAAAAACAAAAGTTCAAAGTGACAATGTCATCACAAAAAATCATGTGCACTATCTTCTGGGATAGGAAAGGCGTTTTGCTTACTGAATTTCTTCCCAGAGGTGAAACCATTAATGCTGCACAATATTGTGAGACTTTAACAAAACTAAGGCGTGCCATTCCAAACAAACGAAGAGGAATGCTCAGTAAAGGAACTGTGTTGCTCCATGACAATGCTTGGCCCCATACTGCTGGTGTCACTCAATCGTTAATTCAACAGTTTCATTGGGAGCAGTTCGATCACCCGCCGTACAGCCCGGACGTGGCGCCATCCGACTATCACTTGTTCCTGCAAATGAAGCGAGAGCTTGGTGGCAAGCGCTTTGGATCTGACGATGACACGAAAAACGCTGTGGAGTCGTGGTTATCAAAACTGGCGGGAAGTTTCTTTGACGATGGTATACAAAACTGGTCACCCGCTATGACAAGTGTTTGATCATTGGCGGAAACTATGTTGAAAAATAGTTTAAGACATGTATTTTCATGTAAAAATAAAATTGGATTCGAAAAAAATTGTTTTACTATTTTATTTATTTATTTATTTATTTATTTATTTATTTTTTTTTTTTTTTTTTTTTTCCCTTCCCAAAACGGTACTTAGTTTCCGAATACGTCTAGTATTACAGTGTGGATTGGAATCACATGATTAAAGATTTCCATTATTTACCCATTGTTTGCATTTTTTGTCTGTTTGTGAACATACATCATGCTGATGTCTCTTTCAAAACGATTTCAGACAGTTGAAGAGGCATAAGAACATTTTCATACATTATCAGACGATGAAGAATGTATTGATATTTGTCAACTGCCTTCAGAAAAAACTGGATGTCCAACAGATGGGGAAGATATAAATGAAGATATTTTTTAGCCTGTTCTGCCAGCGGATGTATGTGTAAATATCGAAATTTCTAATAAAATAGATGATGATGAAACACCTCATGAAATTTCATTTGATCCTCAAGAACCTTCACCCTCAAAGCAAAGACCGAATCTGAAGTGAAAATTAAATCAAATGAGAAAAATATTGAACATCGGTGGGAAAAATTTTAAATTTTTAGCAAAATTCTAAAAACTGGCAGCATTGAATATATTCGAAAAATGTTCCCTGAACTAGTTACTTTGTCTCAATTGAGCTTTCTCACAAGTTCATAACTAGAGAAAATTTGCTGCATTTAGCATATAGACAGGACTTTACGCAATGCAGAAAGGAGAAGTTTTAGTTGTAGATGAAAACAATATAGGACAGCTTTGGAGATTACTGTATAAGGTGTTTCTCCCACCTTCTTAGCATGCCTTCGTGGTGTAATGGTCAGCATGCTTGGAACGTATTCAAGAGGTCCATGGTTCTAATCCCGGCGAGGGCATTGCTAATTTTTCCTCTCTCCTGCTTTCAAAAAGTACCTACTGTCTCTACAACTGTTATTTAGACGGTATCATCAAGTACCCGGAGTAGATTTATATTGGAGCACTTAAGGAGATCTATCTGTCCAGTTGTTTCTGCCAGAAATAGATTTAGAAAACTGGAAAAAAAATTTCATATTATAGATAGCATGTTGGCATTCAGAGATAAAGTGGGAAAAGTTTTTTTCTTTCATGAAGAACTAGGAAAAAAATTTCAGCAGTTCAGCATCTTTCATTCTAAACTGAATATAGGTGAATCAATGGTCCCCTTTTACAGTCATCATTCGGCTAAAATGTTAACATAAATTGCTAACAATTATTGAAAAATTCTTTTACAAATTCCTTCTTATGAACTACGTAACTTTGTTTTAATTTATTGCGAAAGCTTTTTTCTTGTGGAAGCTTCATCTCTTCTAAGAAACTTTGGTGGAGTAGTTTTGCATTTCTAAGGGAGTAGCCTGCCAATTTTTCTGCTTAAACTATGTTATTTTTGAATAACATTTAGAAATTCACTTACTAATACTGAAAAATTGTAGACAAAAATATCATTTTGAATTTAAATTTTGTTAATCATGTTTCATAAAATCATGTAAAAAAACCTGTTTCCCACCAATGTTCCATTTATGGAACACGTTATAAATCATAATTTTTTTTTCTTTTTTCATAATTCTTATATTTGAGTTTTAAATTGATTTTTTACCACAAATTGTACATATTATCTTTGCATCATAGTGTGGCATTTAAAAGGTTAACACAGATCTTAATTTCATAGTAAAGTCAGGATTTTTATATGTAAATTTTCTTCCCTATTGTGTGCAAATTGTATGCTGCATTAAATTTTATAATGAAACATATTAAAAAATTCCCAAGATTTTAATGTAATAAATACAATACCCATCGGTAGTTATTTCATTCTAAATGAAGTAATTCAATCATACAATACAGTGTTTTCAATATTTTGAATACTCATGTTTTATCACAGGGCTAGCAAAAAATCTTTACACTAAGAGAAAGATCTTTCCATCTCCACACTCACAAAAGATGAAAACTTGATCTTCAGGCAAATGCTCAAATCTAGATTCTTAGTGAACAAGCCTGTTCTTAAAATAATTCTCAAGCTCTGACTTGAAGAAATCATTATCTTTTTTGTAGATATCATACTGTGCTTGCTTCTTCTGTTCCATATGTTACTTATCTTGTCCGCAATATACTTAGAGCTGTGTACCCTATACGAATGGTCTCACTCAAGTTGTATGCAGGTCAAATGCATAATCTGAAAGCAGCTGACAGGCAAAATGTTTTTTCCTTTTTTCTTTTTTTAAACCAAAATGAAAATTTTTAGCAATATAAACATTGCTTTTAAAAAAATAATATTTTCTTAATGTAACAAAAAAAATTTTTGAGCAAATTTTAAAAAATTAACTAAATTATAAATTTCACTGACTAAATAACTTATCAAAAAATACATAAAGAATACTAATAATAACAAAAGTGAAAAACTCAAATTTATATAGTAATTTTCTGTCTGAAATCTAAAGGCTGGTACCCACAAGAAATTTCTGTTAGATACCTTTTTATTTGTTCAAAAACAACATTCAAAAGTTTATGTACAATTCCAAATATAAGTTAGGATATAAAGTAGATCTAATAAAAAGCACAAAGAACAGGATTTATAAGCCATATGCGAGTTTGTCTGTAACTGTATAACGATATGAACTGTGCAGCTATGCAACAGTCACTTACATAGTGACTGACTAAGAAAAGTCATACCATTCTGTAGAAAAACCCGGAAACACCATAATACTGAAGCACCACCACTGTCGGCTGGCCAATAAATTTACTGATTGCACTGCACTGTTTTCTCACCTTCCCCCTCCTCCAGCCACATAGCCAGGCAAGCAAGCACAGTAACAAAATCCCAACCTATTTATTCTACCTCTTTCACATTCAGCTGCAGCTGCACATATTAACGCAGTCCATATCACCAAGTCTCTAATGTATTCAAAAACCATGTAAATTTGCTTTAAAGGTCACATGCAGTCCATGGACTGCCAGTTTGAGACCACGGGCTTATACAGCTTTTTTTCCAGATCTTTGCTGCATAATATTCTTGATTTTTGTAAATCCAGCAGAGCCATCCGCTTAAGCCAAACAATAAAATTCTTGATTTAAATAAAGTTGTTGCAAAAGTATATCACAGCAAAAATTTAGGATTTTTACCCGACTATCATAGACTCTAGGGCAAGAAGTTAGTTGAGTAACTTACTGAAAGAGGCTTTTTCTTATCAGAGTTTCCACCAGCATTTTCTCCATAAATGCAATGAACTAGCTTACAATTTTCTTTCACAGATTCACAAGCCAGCTCACCTTTTCACCATATTACCAGCCAAACAAGTAATATGGTATAAAGGTGATAAAGAAGTTTCAGCTGTCAAAAAGTCCTTCAGTATGCAAAAAAGTGATTATTAGCCACATATTTGTGTTACTAATATCATTAAATGTTTGCATTACAGTGCAACTTTTAGTTTGCTCTAAATGATACATTTTGAAGTGCATGAAACAAAATGGTTCTCCATTAAAAATGCAGAAGAATAAATTTTTTTAAAAAAATTACCTCTTTTAGTACTCATTGTTTTGTCAAAAATAAGCACCACTGTAGAATCTGGTAAGCATTTTCTGTGACTTTGTTGAACACAAGTGTATTTTACTTATATTCACTTGTTTACTTACCCACTTATATTAGGAAAAGAAAGAGTTATTTTGGTCATCATATGAAGTAGTAAATTATACTATATGATAGCCACAGTGTTTCTTCACAAATTGTGCCGATTTTTGAGGTTTAAGATAAAATGACATAATTCATTACTTTCAAATGTACAAATAATAAAGAAAGAAATAGCAAACTGTAGTGTTCTGAATAGTTTGTATTAGTTTATTTACATATAATGTAACATATAATATATTTTGTTACTATTGGATTTAATAACTGACAACAACTTACTGCTGATAACAACTTACTGTAAGAAATTTATCAATCAAACTAGACCATATTCTACATGCCATGAAAATGTAACATTTAATGTAATATCTGTTATCTGTGACAAGTCTTGAATTGCATTACAATCAGATACAAGAATGCTGTTGTTCTCTATAATGCTTTTTTAATTTTTTTACCAAAAAAATATATTACTATATTGTTTATGTCTTACAATTATATTGCTTTAGCAGAAAATTTGTAATGTAGTTAAATAATTTATGCAATCTGTTCTGTTAGTAAAACAATCTAAGCATAGTTTCTATTCTAAATATATGAAACGATAAAAATAGGCTTTATGCAAAGCATAAAAGAAATTTTGCACAACATTCATAAAAATATATGGTTTCAATACATGATTGTTAGGGAATGGTGGACAGAATGAATCAAAATGACTCAGGCTGTGGGTCAGCGATGAACAAATACTTTTAACCATAGGCCAAAAAGGTCATTTTTAGTGCATCTGTAGGCAGGGCTATGACAAACTTTAAGGAGCCCCTACTTTCGGCAGGATATAATGGGGAGAAGAAACATTCATCCCTAGTAAAAATTTGTTTTAAATTACAATTTTACGATTTACAATATTTTTAGAAATTTTCAAAATATGCCAAAAATGGGATCCTGTTCTGTTGATCATGAAATGACTGACATGTATACTGTTTCATTTTCAAATGCAGATTTAGAAGTGAAATGTTCTTTCCCTAAGCTTGTAGAGACATTAGGTTAATTCGAAACAGAAGAAATGAAAAATGAGCATTGCCCTCACCGGGACTCGAACCCCGAATAAGCGTCGAGCGTGCTGAGCACTACACTACGAAGACATGCTGAGAACCCAGGAGAAATATCTTATAAGCTGCCTTTTCTGATCAGTCTTTTTATCTCAAAACTATTTGTATATCATTGTTTAATTTCAAAATTAAAGCCGATACAAATAATAGGACTATTATCCTTCAGTAAATATAGATACTTTCTAGCATATCTAGCATTCTCAACTTAAGTTGATTGTTAATATAGTCATGTATATATATGCACAAATACACTGTAACAACAGATGCATGCTCCAACTGCTGATTTCGTTAATTTGCGCAAAAAATCAAGTAGGAAAAAGATCAAAATGTCATTGCACTGGGTTTCATAATGGTTGGATTAAGCAATTAGAAGGGTTGCCACTCATTCATGGGCTTTTTTTTGCCCACTACTGCTATAACGTATTAAAATATGAGAGTCGACTTACTTAAGCTCACCACACCTATTAAATCTTTAACTGAAGAACACATTAATCTAATGCTCATGCAAAAATATACCTTCATTTAGAAACTTTTAATATATTATATAAGTGATTATTTTATCTATTAAATTACTACATGTGTGCCTTTACTTGTTTTCACTAAAATACAGCTCTTATGTATTTAACTGAATCACCAAAAACCAAAAGAACAGAAGATTTCTACAAAAAGTAAGAAATCATTCTATGAAATTTTAGCATTCACATTTCTTTTATATCAATAGTTATACTCACATTTCCTCCTGGTCCTCGCCATGCAGCAATAATAAGCCCATATTCATCTTCATCGCATGGATACTCAATTTCAAGTGTGACAGATTCAGGCAATGGAGGAACAGGTGATTGCCATGGTCGAACAAAAGGTTTCTTTTCTTTCTAAAGTAAAATTCAAAAGGTAAATTAGCCTTACATATAATTGAAATGAATCATAATTGAACAGCAGCATTTCTAAACACAGATACAAAAAAATTGCTTCATACCTCAAGGGCTATTCTTTCCTCAACTGGTTTCAGAGCTTTAAAAACTTCACTAGCATCAATTTGACCAACTATTATTAGATACAAATTTTCAGACCTATAAAATTCTTTATGATATGCACGCACCTGAAATTAAATTGGGAATCAGCAAATAATGTTTTTTTAATTTAAATAACAATAAATGAAAAATATAATAAACATACAAAAATTTGAAAAGTGAAAACATTTTTTATTAAATATTTCTAAATTATTTTTTAAAAAATCTGTTGTGTACACCACATGACTTCCTTGTACGGAATATTAAATTATACGCATTTTTTCTTGCATTTTTATTTAAACTTATTAGATTGAATTAAACCTACTTCGCCGACAGCGCATAAACCACAATAGAATAAATGCATTCTTTAAAATTCACTTTGTTTACCATAGCGACACTCTGGCGCTAGGTTTACTTAACAGTATTATATTTCATTCATATTATAACTCAGAATGCATAAAATGTATAATCATTTAAAGAATTATCTAATCGTTGCCACATGTTCTATTCAAATACTATAATAAAGCTAGAACTATGTATAAAAGAAATTAAGCAAACAAAACAAAAAAGAAACAGTTTTTTACAGATGACTGAGTATTTCTCATTTAATTAATTCAGTACTCACTTCGCGAGAAGGCAAAAATACATAAAAACTCAAAATATCTATATTAAAAATTACGAAGTAAATCTCAAACGCTTATTTCCTCGAAAAAATTCCAGAAAGGATTAAACATGATTTAATTCGCAATAATAAATGAAGGCGTTATCTTTGCTGTTGCGAAGATAAGTTTCTCTAGATTCGCAACAAATCCACTAGTCTCCTGTTTCAAATGTAAACATCAATGGCCGCCATTAAAAACAGGCTTAGCGGCAATTAAACAACTTTAAAATCACTGATAATTCTAAAAATATTGCACACAGATTTACTAAAGGCATAAAATCCTTAACCGGAAAATAAAAACAACATAATTCAATCATTTTTAAAGCAAAAAAATGTACAATTTACAAACATATAAGAGTAAAGAAACTGAGATCACTGAGCCGGGTAATAGAGTGGATATATATATAAATATATTTATATACGTTTGGTGCGGCCAATTGCAACCAAAATACGAGGTGCACATCTACCTGTTATAGCAGTCCTATATACAAAATTTCAACGTTCTGAGGCTACTTGTTTTTGAGTTATGCGAGATACGTACGTACATACGTTCATACAGACACCACGAAAAATTCTCTTCAGAATTAATTTTAAAGCAGTTTTATAATTTTTTGAAGGAAAAGAGTATTTTATTCTGTCCTTACATGCAGATATCACGCAAAAACATCGTTAAATTGCATTCGATAGCGGTCAAAATGGATATTTCGTTGAAATATGCTGCCTGAAACTTTTCGCAATTACAATACTTCCTTTTTACTTCATACAAGGAAGTAAAAATAAAATATCATATTTTCTTCAACCCAAAAACTCATATTCTGAAAAATTTAAATCATACAAAAATCAAGAAAGTCATGTATAACATCAATATACCTTTAACTATGACACAAAGATATTTTTTAAAAAAATCAAGGGATGAAAGAAAAAGTACCATCTAAAATGTGCAAGTATCACTTTTTCTCAGGCTAAGAACACAATTCCATTTTCAAAAGAATATTCTATGGAATGAATGAACTCCTTGAAGCAAACATTGAACACTGAAGCAAAATGGCATTTCCTCAATTCTGCTCGAAAATTTACAGTTACAGTGAGCAAAGGAACTACAAATATTGGACTACTGATGACAGAAAATGCACTGTCTGGTTCAAAGTCTGATTTCTGCTAGGCATTGTATTTATGTAGATGGCAAAAAAGCCTTCAATGTGGACCAGGGGTACCCACCCTGTGGCTCACACAACCTTATTGATACAGCTCGCGTTGCACATTTGGTCCCTTCTCAGTCTGGTGAGGTCAAGGTCCGAGAAGAGAAAGAAAAATTCGAAATTCAAATATGTCAAACACTCAGAGATGCAACTAACAAATTATTTTACATCAAACATTGCACGGCAACATTGCTATCAATTTACACGTCATCATTGCCATCACAGTTGGTTGCTTCAGACTGAACTGAATGCTGCATTTTCATTTGCTGATCCTTAAGAGTAATTATGACGCATAACTCTTAAATATTTTACAGCGTAATTGTCAGTCACTTGCTGCAGACTGCATAAAATAAATGCCAACAAACATAAAACAAATTTTTGAAGTTGAGCATCAAGTAGCTGATTTAGGTGGTAGAGGTATAAAAAATATTTGCTTCTTTTATGTATGTTAATCCTTACTCTTAATAGATATTAATAATTTTATAGTCACATGATTATCATGTCATCATACGAGCCCAAAAAAAGAAAATCACACTATTTTAAAACTGAATTGGAAGAAAAAATATATTTGTTTGGTTTGTGGTTTAAGAATTTCTGCTGAAAATAAAGCAACACACAATAACATTTTACGATAATTCTCATCAAATATAATACTGAATATCCTTCAAATAAAATGACGGTTACTGCAACTGTATTATTTAAGGTAGCACATATGCTTGCATTTCACAAAAAACCTTGAATATGAAAATATTTATTTCTAATAAACTTCAGATTTATTATATCCCATATTATCAAATACTGCACTACTGAATTTTCTATTTCTAAATTTGTAAATTTATGTGTAATGAACTTTGTGTATTTTGTATTGTATTAATAAAGAATTTGGTGAGGTCAATAAATCTACTCAGACAAACTTGGGCAGCAAATTCTATACTTCCTCCTTCTTCAGCTGCTTGGCTTTATGGTGATATCTTTATTAAGAGATGAGGACTTTTCTTTCCATTTCTCATGCTTGTTTATTACTTATGGAAGATCCTATTAAGCCTTTTTTATTTCTTTTAACTTCTGTTTGGATGGACACTCTTGCCATCGCATAGGTGCACCTCCCAGCACGCAATCAAGCACACTAATAATGGCCGCTAGCTAACCACGTTGTCGTTTTCTCTCATTGTGGTTGCCAGATCACTTCTGCCTTAACATACCGCCCGGGTTGGGCATTTGTTACATAGTTAACAATGACCAAAATTAAACAGTTTTAAATCACCATATAGTCCAAATAATATATCAGAAAATTTAAATTGATACACATGAACAAAAGCAATAAACATAATTAACCACAGAACATGAAATGCACAACATCTAAATTAAAATACAATGCATATATATAACAAGTTTTTGAACTCAGGAAATATACATGAAATTATGTCACATCTACTGGTAGTACAGCTAATTTAGTTATTGGTCTTTTTAAAAAACCTGACTTGGTTTTTACAATACAAACTCTAACCTTTTTATCCTTACCATAAATTACCTCTTCTATTTTACCCAATAACCAAGTCGAAGTGGGCATGTTGTCTTCCTTTACTAAAATTATAGTGCCCTTTTTAACGTTATCCTTAGAGAAATACCACTTAAATCGTTGCTGTAAATGACTGATGTAATCATTTTGCCATCTTTTCCACAAATATTGCGTTACTTTAGTAGTGCGCTGCCAGCGCTTTAAAGAACTATCAGAAAAATCAGTTAAATCAGGCTCTGTTATTGATGTTAAAGGTCGCCCGACTAGAAAGTGTGCGGGTGTAAGAGCTTCTAAATCATTGGTGTCATTTGACAAAAGGGATATTGGACGTGAATTTAAAATTCCTTCAATCTGGTTCAAAATTGTAAGAAACTCCTCAAATGTAAAAATCAATCTCCCAACTGCACGCTTAAGATAAAACTTAAACGACTTAACACCTGCCTCCCAGATACCTCCAAAGTGAGGAGCCCTGGGAGGGATAAACTTCCAATGAATTCTTTCAGATGTCAGATATTTGGTTAAGAATTCATCAGGGTATTTCAACAAATTGTAGAGTCGCTTCAATTCATTGCTAGCCCCAACAAAATTTCGAGCGTTATCGCTAAATAAGGACTCGCATTTACCCCCTTCTAGAAATAAATCGCTTCAAAGCAGCAATAAATGATTCTGTAGACAAATTTGAAACGATCTCGAGGTGGACTGCACGAGTCAAGAGGCAAACAAAAATTGCAACATAAATCTTGTGCACTACGCTCTTCTTTCTGAGTTGTATACTTTATACCAAAAGGGCCACAAAAGTCAACACCAGTATGGTTTAAAGGGAAAGGATGGATTCAGTCTCTCTAATGGTAAATTTCCCATCTTTTGATCCAGCAATACTGGTTTTACTTTGGCACACGTAACACATTCTCTTACTATCTTTCTAGCAAGATTACGCCCACTTATCGGCCAAAATTTTTGTCTAACACTATGCAAGAGCGCTTGTGCTCCAGTATGAAAGTTTCGAATATGGTAGTGTAACATAATTAAATGAGTCAGTTTATGATTTTTTGGCAGGACAGCAGGGTGCTTTGTGTTAAAGGGTAAGTTAGCTTCCTGCAGTCTACCACCACCTACTCTAATAACTTGAGATTCATCTAGAAAGGGACATAAAAATTTTAACTGACTATTTTTACATACTTCCCTTCTCTTACTTAAGTTCTTGAATTCTTCAGGAAAGTTTTGACATTGGACTAAGGAAAGTAATTTATTTTCGCTTAACGAAACCTCATCTACTGTCAGATGACCTACTTGTTTTTCCTTGGATCTACAATTTCTTATAAATCTTAAAACATAAGCAAAAACATTAATTAATTTAGCATAACAATTAGTAATACTAAAAAACATAATCCAAAAGAGAATTTTTAACAGTTACGGTCAAATTTACATTAGAAATAAGTTTCAGTTCGCGCACATAGTTCTCATTTGAATTTTCAAAGTTATTATTAACACTATAATTAATGACCTGTTGATGCAGAAAATTTGGTCCTTGAAACCACAAAGAGTTGTCAGCAATAATTTCCAGTCTCAGACCGCGAGAAATTAGGTCAGCGGGATTGTCTGCTGTTCTGACATGTTGCCAGCAGAAATCCTTAGTTAGCTCTTGGATAGACACAAACACTTTTAGAAGATGAGGAGATGTAGCAATCCAGGTTAACACAATTGTTGAAT